TTGAGGTGGATGGTTGCAGGTGACGCTGAGGTGGATGACTGTATAGGAGATATTGAGGTGGATGGTTGCAGGTGACGCTGAGGTGGATGACTGTATAGGAGATATTGAGGTGGATGGTTGCAGGTGACGCTGAGGTGGATGGCTGTATAGGAGATATTGAGGTGGATGACTGAAGGTGATAATGAGGTAGATTACTGGGGTGATATTGAAGTGGTAGATTTAAGGTAGTACTGAGGTGAATGGTTGCAGGTGACGCTGAGGTGGATGGCTGTATAGGTGATATTGAGGTGGATGACTGAAGGTGATAATGAGGTAGATTACTGGGGTGATATTGAAGTGGTAGATTTAAGGTAGTACTGAGGTGAATGGTTGCAGGTGACGCTGAGGTGGATGGCTGTATAGGAGATATTGAGGTGGATGACTGAAGGTGATAATGAGGTAGATTACTGGGGTGATATTGAAGTGGTAGATTTAAGGTAGTACTGAGGTGAATGGTTGCAGGTGACGCTGAGGTGGATGGCTGTATAGGTGATATTGAGGTGAATGACTGAAGGTGATAATGAGGTAGATTACTGGGGTGATATTGAGGTTGACTGCTGTAAGTGACGCTTGGGTGGATGGCTGTAGGTGATGACTGTTGGTGATTCTGAGGTTGATGTCTGTTTGTAACATTGAAACGTATTCCTGTCAACGACACTAAGGTAGGTGATACAGGGGTGGGTGGCTATATATGCGATACTGATGTGGGTTATTGCACATGCAGGTGATAATAAGTTGGATGGCTGGGTGTGAAATTGAAGCGTATGCCTGTAGGTGATATTGAAGCGAATGCATGTGCCGAGGTGAATGGCTGTAGGCGACACAGGTGGATGACTAAAGGTGATATTGAGGTGAATGGTTGCAGGTGACGCTGAGGTGGATGACTTTTTAGGAGATGTTGAGGTGGATGACTGTTGGTGATGCCGAGGTGGAGGACTGAAGGTGATAATGTGGTACATGTAGATTACTGAGGTTATATTGACGGCTGTAAAAGATGCTGCTGAGTTGGAGGACTGTTGGTGATACTGGAATGGGTGGCTGTAGGTGAGACTGAGGTGGTTCACTGTTTCCGATACAGAGGTCGATGACTGTTTATGTTATACTGAGGTGGATGTCTGTAGGTGACACTGAAGTGGATGATTGTAGGTAATACTGAGGTACGCGAGTAATTTTTCTGTGGTGTTGAAGTTCCATATTTCCCTTTATAGATCTGCAACGTACAACCATGTGTTAGAATACACAGTCTTTTCGCATTGTATTCTTTTATTTTTAATAGACACTAGTTGACACAATACAGCGATATGTAGCTATAACTTCTGTGCACATATTACATTATTGATTATTAAGTATTATACGCTTCTGGTGTATTCAAAAGTGATTTTGACATAAACAAATATTTAATTAGGTATTAACACCATCGAGAAGAATGTCGCTGACACTGTACGTAGCAACTTCTGTAGATCTACTTAAATTATGTAGGAAGGACCTTAGCACATTAATGCAATACCACTTGTTTCGGGATTGGTTGCCCAGGCGCTGTGTGCACTTGGTTTAAACAATATTTTCTTTTCTTGAAAATGGATAGGTCAAGAGGTGCAATGCCTATTTGAAGACCTCTCCGAAGCACTTAACCCTCAAACGGTTGTCTATCTTGTTGTTTTTATATCATCATATGATTTGCTGTTCATATTGTTACTACCGCCTCCGTGGCCTAGTGGTAGAGCGTCCGCCCGGAGAGTGGAAGGTCTGGAGTTCGATCCCTGACCGCGTCATACCAAAAGACGTTAAAAGATGGTACTTGTTGTAACCCTGTCTGGCGCTCGGCATTAAGGGGCTTAACAAGGACTGGTCGGCTCGGAGTCAGTACACTGTGTCTGAGTGGGGTATTCATGTTAAACTGGGCGGTCGGGTAGCCTAGTGGTTAAAGCGTTCGCTTGTCACGCCGAAGACCCGGGTTCGATTACCGACATGGGTACAATGTGTGAAGCCCATTTCTGGTGTCCCCCGCCGTGATATTGCTGGAATATTGCTAAAAGCGGCGTTAAACCATACTCACTCACTCACTCATGTTAAACTGCGGCATCGTATCTTAGTGAGCTAGCACCATAAATCGGCATCAGTCCGGACTAGTACAAGCAGCCACACACACACGCATGCACGTCGCTATGTAAGTGCAATAATCTTGGACGCGACGTTAAACCCCATTTACCTCACCTTACCTTATATTGTTACTTTAACTCAAAATATGTTCCTACTTGTTTCCAATAAATAGGTTTGTTTGGTTGGTTGGTTTGTTGTTTTACGCCGCACTCAGCAATATTCCAGCTATATGACGGCGGTCTGTAAATAATCGAGTCTGGACCTGACAATCCAGTGATTGACATCATGAGCATCGATCCACGCAATTGGGATCGATGACATGCTTCAACCAAGTCAGCGAGCCTGACCACCCGATCCCGTTAGTCGCCTTTTACGACAAGCAAAGTCGCCTTTTACGGCAAGCATGGGTTGCTGAAGACCTATTCTACCCCGGAATCTTCACGGGTCCCAATAAATAGGTGTAATCATATACAAACCTATGTACATTGAGCATATTGAGTGGTACAAAACACACATACATTTGCAAAACACCAGACCATAGGTAAACTAAATAAACCATATTTCAGTCAACTGTAGATGGAATACGAATAAGAGGAAAGAGTTATAAATATCCGTAGAAATATCATTGAAAGATGACGTGCTCTTCTTTTCTCGAACACCTGGTAACATCACTACTTTATACTGATTTATAAACATATGCTTATGCTATAGTCGGAATTGTACCATGGTGATGTCTTATGACGTCATATAAATGAAACTACAAAGGGAACATTAATATTGAATGAACCACAAAGATAGAAAATCAAGGCATGGTTAAGAATATCGATTTCATAAATCAACGTATATTATACATGAAAAGTGGCCTAAATGACTCGTTAAGACCCAATAAGGGTAACAAACTCATTTCTACAGAAAAGAATATTCAGTTGATACAGGAATAAAATAACTATCTTCAGCTGTTAGACTTTTAATATAGATCTTTGCTAACAATGGACATGGTTGATGTGGATTTTATAAAGAAGAGAGTGATATGGGGCATGTTTATTAGGATGTGATGAAACACATGCTATAGATTGCCCTTCGTAACTGAACACATACTTAAGTATCTGACAGAAAATATTAATTGTACAAAACGTTTGATTTGATTTTTATTTACAGGTAACAATCCATTCATAAATCAAATGTTCATAAACTCGAACAGAAAGAGCATGCTCAATTGTACCCCAAGAGTTGTTAAATGAAGACACCAAAGGCTACTACTGTTGCAATATTGTTCGACATAAAGGGAAAGTTGACAATTGGAAAGTTGAAGTCATAACTTGTTGTCACTCTGAATCAATATATATGAGCTGTGGAACCAAATAATTAAAATACATAAATACATAATACATAAATATAAATACATAAATACGTAAATACATTAACACATAAATACATAAACACTTATTACGTAAATACATACATAATACATATATGCATAAATGCATTTACATAAATACATAAATACATACATAAAACGTAAATGCATAAATACGTAAATACATAAATACATATACATATACATATACATAAATACGTAAATACATACATAATACATAAATCCATCAATGCATATACATAAATTCGTAAATACATAAATACATATACATAAATGCATAAATACGTAAATACATACATAATACATAAATGCATATACATAAATACTTAAATACATAAATACATATACATATGAATAAATACGTAAATAAATTAGTACATAAATACGTAAATACATTATTACATTAATACGTAAATACGTAAATACATAAGTACATAAATATATAAAAACGTAAATACATAAATACATGAATACATAAATTCATAAATATTTAAATTAATACTTTAATACATTGGTACGTTAATACGTAAATACATAAATACACCAATAAATACATATGCATAAATATGTAAATACATGTACATAAAAACATATACATAAATATGTAAATACATAAATACGTAAATATAAATACATAAATACATAGATACAATACAAATATGTTGGTGCAGTTGATGGATATAGAAATCCGTGCGTTTTTCATTTTACAGTTTCAACAATATTCATTTCCAAATATATTTTAAAACTTTATACAATAAATTGTATATTTTCAGGGACAATACTTGTGTTTGGGATATGGACTGCCAGTGGAAAATCGTCTGGCCTTAAAGTGAAAAACGGTTTCAGAAACATATACAACCTTAAGCCAGGGAACAGTTCCGAGATTGGTGTCTCGTGGAAAGAGCCTTCTGACATAAAACCGCAACACTGCTATATGACAATTGACGGCAAGCCTAACAGCGTTCCTAAAAAGGATGTTTATATTAACAACAAAGAAAAATCTGCTATTTTCACACTCACCGAGGACCATTTTGACGGGGAGTTTGGGATCCACGATCTCGTAGTGTATCTACAAAAGAGCTCTTACAACGATTCTATTGAAATTTATATATATTTTGAAGAAGAGCCTGACGGGTTGGCCGTAGAGCATAAACAGGTGTTTGTTAATCTGGACGAAAACGTCAAATTCTCCGCCAATTTAACGTCTGGTACAAATATAAAGGCGGAGTGGATGGTTAACGTTAACGACTCAAACCTGCTCTCCTTCAATGACACTGTCCGAGAAATATACCATATCAGAAACTTTACCGAGGTAGCAGTTCATAATATCAGCTTGATAGTAGCGAACGAACTGAAAAGCAAGGTTGAATTCTTTGATGTGTGTGTTCAACATGCTATTAACAATATATCTGTAATTCCGGGTGATATCACAGGAGAAGTGAAAAAGGTGGTCAGCTTTGCGGTGAAAGTTGGTAAGAACGCAATGGTACCAATGGGGAAAGTGGTAGCAACAGTTACGTTTGGGGACGAATCAGCACCAGTCGAGGCAACAATTTTAGAGGGTATCCAGATAAGTGACACAAGGGACAAAGCTACCCTTCTGAAAACTGACGCAGACAAGACAGGATCAGAAAAATCATTTAACCATACCTACCAGAAACAAGGAACGTTTTCCGTTAGTGTTACCCTTAAGTCTCAAACAGATGTTGTTATTCTTAATGCCACTGCTAATATCTGGGCTGGTTTAAAAGACATCAAGATTGAATCAAAGTTACATCATGTCACAGTTAATGAATCTGTTAATTTTTTGTTGGCCGGCGATCCAGAATTTGGATTCAAGTATCAAATTGTGTATGGGGATGGAAACATTGATAGCAAAACTGATGACTCGTTGTATGACACATACAAACCCCCTCAGCTGTCTCACACATACATAGAAGCAGGAACGTACAACGTTTCCTTCAGGGCTTATAACACACTATCCGACTCCAATTCGACCGTCCAGGTTCAAGTGTGGCATCCGATCCCAGCCATCAGACTCAAGCCTGAATTTAAAACAGTCACTAAAGTTGAGGGGACGGTTGCATTCAATCTTGAAGTGGGTGATGGTAACATCCCACCTGAAACACAGTGTTCGTTTGTTTTTGAAAAAGGAACTGAAGGAAAACAAAGAGCTCTTGAGAGAAGCATTAGCATTGAAAACAATTTCACAAACCCTGGCAATTTCACTGTCTTTGTCAAATGCTCTAACAAGGCCAATGAGAAGAATGCGACATCATACATTACTGTGCTTGATTTTACTGTTGAAAACTTTCATCTGATCAGCGAAAGACTATGGCCTATGAACGTCTCAGAAGCAACATCTGTCTCATTCACAATTGCATTGTTCAAGATGCAAGATCCACCACCAGGAGTTACGGCAACATGGGACTTTGGAGATGGTTCTCCTGTAGTTGCATCTACTCTGAAGAAATGGGAGACCAGTCATGAATATCAAAGTAGAGGGCTATACAATGGCTCTGTGGTTATAACACATAACAAGCGTAACGCTACACATAACTTCAGTGTACTCTTGGGTTTGATAAGCTTGAATGTCGATAGGTATATGGGTTTCTTGAATGAAAAACAATTTAATTTCTCAATGCAGTCGCAGAGCTCACTTAACTTCAAATATAAAATTGCGTTTGGGGATGAAAATGAATTGGAGATGAATTCATCCTCAGTCTTTCATATCTATAAATCTCCCGGTGTTTATAAGCCGTATGTGATAGGGTGGAATGACACCGTGTGTGAATTGTTTAATCTTGGAAGGGAAATCAAAGTAGACAGTCGTCTTACAGACAGACTTGAACTGCAACATGTGGACCACGCGTACTTCCCACCAGGGAATATGAATCTAACAATAATAACTACTTCTAACAACCAGGGTCTATCTGACATCACCTGTCAGATTAGCTACGGAGATGACATCGATAAAGAGGTCTACAATTTCACAGGAAATATTTCAAGAACAAACCCCAAAGTGCTCAGTTATGGATATAAAACTCTAGGTATTCACAACATAACAGTCAACTGTTCAAATATGCTCGACAACATAGTTCTGTCAAGTAAGATAAAGATAATCAACCATTGCTTCTCAACGGAGGGTATTTTCGACAGACAGTATTCTAACCCTAGCACCCCAATGATGGCATTCACACATCTTTCGGTAAAAATTCGAGGTCGACTAGCCATACCCTGCTACGACAAGGGACCGGACTTTTACTGGGACATTTATGAATATTTTTCCAGCAAGAATAAGTCATACGTACCGATCACTCAACCTTATTCCGATTTTATCCAGTTGGAGCAGGGGACACTGAAAGCTTCACTATATGAAATACAACTCAATATAAGTTTTACGCTTCTACACAACAATTGGTTCGTTGAGACAACGTATCTGCGATACAGGGACCCACAGTTAATATCGGGTATAAATGGCGGTACACTGCGAGTAATCACGCAGAAAGATCTTACCGTCGACGCGGCGGGACTATCGTATGACCCAATCGTTGGAATGGGGGACGTCACTGGCCTGGAGTTTGTCTGGAGTTGCTACGCCGTCGACAGCAAGTCAGTGAAGGAGATAGAGGCAAAACAAAATTCATCAACTCCAGTCAAGTGCAACACTATAACGATGCCCGTAAAGACAGGGGTTCTTCTTTTCAGAGGAAGCAAACAGGACGCAAAAGGGTTCGCGTTTGATGTGGTTGTCAAGAAAGGGAAAAGATCATCGTACCCTTCTCGTCAACTGATACAGATCTTAGAGGATGCTCCAATAATGAAAATAAGGTACGAAGTGGTATAGCAAGTTAAAATGCATTTATTGTATCTCGTTAGCCTACTGCATCCGCTTTGTCCTTAATGAGCAATGACTCCATGTTATGGTCCTAAGACAATTAAGGTTGTTCAGAGTTCTACTCTCGACCTCAGAACGAGCTGTACATCGCTGAGTGCCTTAAATGCCATGGATTCGATTCACAGGTTTCACACGCTTGGGGCACCTAGCCTAGTCTTACGTGAAGATCCGGGGTAGAATAGGTCTTCAGCAACCCATGCTTGCTGTTAAAGGCGACTTTGCTTGTCGTAAGAGGCGACTAACGGGATCGGATGGTCAGGCTCGCTGATTTGGTTGAAGCATGTCATCGATCCCAATTGCGTGGATCGATGCTCATGATATTAATCTCTGGATTGTCTTGTCCCGACTCAATTCTTTACAGACAGCCGACATATAGCTTGAATATTGCTGAGTGCGGCGTTAACCAACAAACCAACCAACTTACCCATTCTCATACCTTAGGTTTCACTGAAGTGTCCGTCTGCGTCACTTTGAGCTTTCCAACAATAATAAGCTGAGACGCGATGACATGATCAGTAACTGCCAGATTCAAACATTAGTTCTGTGAGAACGGGGCGACACAGTTGGAAATGAGACCCGAGGACCCGAAAAACATCAACTGGCAACGAGTCTGCACATTTGCTGTTTCATTTTTTCTCGGCCTTCGGCCTCAAATGGTGCTTTGGAACATGCATAAATTTCGCTAAAAAGTCTTGTGCAGAACGATACAGGTGAGCAGAAAGGGAATTCCCTCGACTGTAATATTGGGATTCCCCGACATCCCGTAGTATTCATTCATTGAATAATCAGAATACAGGAATTGCAATGAACAAAACGACAATTTCATTATTTGTTTATGATACCAATGAAGTATTATTGAGTACATTATGTTGGTTTTATTTTATAGATGTGTGATCAACTGTGAGATGAAGAAAGCCGTGTCTTCCGAGTTGTCTGTTGAGTCGATGTGCGAGTCATGTAGTGAAGTACAGAAATCACAGGCCACCTACACGTGGACCCTGAAGTCCCAGGCACCTGGAAGTCAGGTCTTCACACCAGTACCTAACTATTCAGAAATGTTCAAGGACACAGGTAAAATAACACTTGCAGTTAAACGAAAGTCAAACGAAGGCAAAGGCCATTTTGAGGGGTTTCAAAGTGTCGTTAAACGTAACGCAATCCACTACCGAGGACTATATCATGTATTTCAATGTTTAATGTATAAATGTGGCTTTTAGGTAAGAACCCTGCTTCAATAGTGTTGAAGAGTAACACGATGACCCCAGGCAAGCTCTACCGTTTGGAGTTGGAAGTTGAAGTTAAGGGCATGAAAAACAAAGGGTTTTCCTCCCTTGATCTGCTGGCCAACATTCCACCACGAGGGGGCACCTGTGACATTCATCCAAAAGAAGGCAAGTTTTATTTGGTTCGTCTCGAAAAAGAACCGTTTTGTGTAACCTCATAACGCTATATTACAGAATGGAAGGACATATGTGTCATTTAATCGGGACATCCCTTGCCTATTTGAAGATTAAAAACCTTTACAAACTAACTCACTGTCCACTGTTTGTTTATTAGGCTATGCTCTGGAAACTCAGTTTGTTGTAACGTGTTCTGGATGGAAGGATGAGGGGTATCGGATGACCCGGGGAAATAGGGATGATCTTGAGGAACCCAAGGAATACACATATGGACTACGGAAGGATGACTTCTACTTCCTACTTTACGATAAAAGTAGGTTCATTCCTAAAGGCTTTTACTATTCTTTTTAATGCTGAAAATATTGTTTATATTTAAAGTGTCCTTTTTCATGTAGGTGAGAGCCGGCGTTACAAGCCTCAGATTATGTCAAGCCGATGGCAACTTGCCATCATGTTTGTTCATGCTATAACCATACCTTACTTGTGATATCATTAGACAGTAATCTCGATAATCTCGGCAGCTCACACTATTGATAATCAAATAGATTAATCACCAACTCGATAACATTCTGAAACTACTGTTTTTTCTTAGCTGGAGCGGCCTCTCCCAAAATGAAAATGCCGATGGCCCCCGACACCGAGGATACTGCCTACATTGTTGAAGTGAAGGTACTCGATGTCATGAAGGACTTCACGCTGGTGAAGCTACCAATTAAGGTAAGAGCCATGTTTTAAGGGGAATTGGAACGGAAATGTTATATCCTTACGTATGAGTGCTTGGAGAACACGATCTCTTCAGGCCATCAGTCACCATGGACAAATACTTTGTGTTGTATATTGCAACTCTCCTCAGCAGAAAGAATAACCATGTGGCGAGATTGATAAGAGACAGACCATTTGATATTCTTAAGGGGCCCTGGGTTTTTATCGAAAATTATCCGAAAATTCTTGAAAAAACATAATATATATACACAGAATAATTTAAAAAAAGTTTTTTTAAAAGTTGCCTGCCACAAAAATTACATTTTTGCAAGGTGGTTTACCTTATAAAAAATCAGGCTCATACCTTTAAAAAGATGGTTTTATAGCTGAAGCTGGAAAAATATCTAATCTTGATTTCTGTCTCTCTCCCCCCCCCCCCCCCCCCCCCCCCCCCTTCCCATACCTGAATTATTTGTTAAGCAGCCTTATAACCAAATTTCTTCACTTAATAACTCACACTTATTAGTGATATTTTTACATCGACATACATGACGAGCATACATTAGTGAGTAGGTGATTTATAATTTAACGTACGTTACATCAGCATGTATTCGTGCCATATAGTGAGGAAGAGAGGAATATACATTGTATTGTATATGTTGGACCATAGTCCCTCGTTCAACAAGATTCAGATTCAGGATCTAAACATTATGAATCATCATGAGCACCAATCAGGCTTACGTAGTTTCTCTCTACATATGCGATGCTGCAAAATAGGAAAGACAGTTTTTTAATTATGGAAAGTATTCTTGTTACAGCTCAATCCTCCACAGACAGTCACGGCTCTGATGGATATGACAAACTTGAATCCAACTGAAGGGGGTGGTGGGGGCTTTGGATTAGGTTCTCTTGATAGCTTAGACTTTGGTGGAACAAACAGTTTGGAGGGGCTAGCGGACATTAGCATGAGTGATTTTGGGCTTGATGAAGGAGATGGAGACCTGGGTGGTCTTGGCGATGTGTTGAGTGACCTGGGGAACATAGCTGGGGCAAGTGATACAGGGGGTGGAACAGGGATTGCGGCTGTTGGGTTAGGACCTGGGGATCCATCTCAGGGAACTGGGATGCTTGGAATGGGGTTTGGTCAAGGCATAGACTTTGGTCAAAGTACTGGTCAGGGCATGGGCGCAGGGCAGGGTGTAGTTGGAGGGCAAGGTATGGGCGGAGGGCAAGGTATGGGTGGAGGGCAAGGTCAAGGTATGGGTGGAGGGCAAGGTCAAGGTATGGGTGGAGGGCGGGGTATGGGCGGAGGGCAAGGTATGGGCGGAGGGCAAGGTATGGGTAGAGGACAAGGTATGGGCGGAGGGCAAGGTATGGGTGGAGGGCAAGGTATGGGCGGAGGGCAAGTTATGGGCGGAGGGCAAGGTATGGGCGGAGGGCAAGGTATGGGCGGAGGGCTAGGTATGGGTGGAGGGCAAGGTAAGGGCGGAGGGTTAGGTATGGGTGGAGGGCAAGGTACGGGCGGAGGGCAAGGTATGGGTGGAGGGCAAGGTATGGGCGGAGGGCAAGGTATGGGCGGAGGGCTAGGTATGGGTGGAGGGCAAGGTATGGGCGGAGGGTTAGGTATGGGTGGAGGGCAAGGTATGGGCGGAGGGCAAGGTATGGGCGGAGGGCAAGGTATGGGTGAAGGGCTAGGTATGGGTGGAGGGCAAGGTATGGGCGGAGGGCAAGGTATGGGCGGAGGGCAAGGTATGGGTGGAGGGCTAGGTATGGGTGGAGGGCAAGGTATGGGCGGAGGGCAAGGTATGGGTGAGGGGCAAGGTATGGCTGGGGGTCAAGGTATGGGCGGAGGGCAAGTTCAAGGTATGGGTGGAGGGCAAGGTATGGGCGGAGGGCAAGGTATGGGTGAGGGGCAAGGTATGGCTGGGGGTCAAGGTATGGGCGGAGGGCAAGTTCAAGGTATGGGTGGAGGGCAAGGTATGGGCGGAGGGCAAGGTATGGGTGAGGGGCAAGGTATGGCTGGGGGTCAAGGTATGGGCGGAGGGCAAGTTCAAGGTATGGGTGGAGGGCAAGGTATGGGTGGAGGGCAAGGTATGGGTGGGGGCCAAGGTATGGGTGGAGGGCAAGTTCAAGGTATGGGTGGAGGGCAAGGTATGGGCGGAGGGCAAGGTATGGGTGGAGGGCAAGGTCAAGGTATGGGTGGAGGGCAAGGTATGGGTGGAGGGCAAGGTCAAGGTATGGGCGGAGGGCAAGGTATGGTCGGAGGGCAAGGTATGGGTGGGGGGCAAGGTGTGGGTGGGGGTCAAGGTATGGGCGGAGGGCAAGGTGTAGGTGGGGGGCAAGGTACGGGTGGGGGCCAAAGTAGGGGTAGAGGTCAAGGTATGGGTGGAGGACAAGGTATGGGCGCAGGGAAAGGTGTAGGTGGGGGCCAAGTTATGGATGGAGGGCAAGGTATGAGTGGAGGACAAGGTATGGGCGCAGGGCAAGGTATGGGCGGAGGGCAAGGTGTAGGTGGGGGCCAAGGTATGGGTGGAGGACAAGGTATGGGTGGAGGTCAAGGTATGGGTGGAGGGCAAGGTATGGGCGGAGGGCAAGGTATGGATGGAGGTCAAGGTGTAGGTGGGGGGCAAGGTATGGGTGGGGGCCAAGGTATGGGTGGAGGGCAAGGTATGGGTGGAGGTCAAGGTATGGGTGGAGGGCAAGGTGTAGGTGGCGGGAAAGGTATGGGTGGAGGTCAAGGTATGGGTGGATGGCAAGGTATGGGCGGAGGGCAAGGTATGGGTGGAGGGCAAGGTATGGGTGGAGGACAAGGTATGGGTGGGGGCCAAGGTATGGGTGGAGGGCAAGGTGTAGGTGGGGGGAAAGGTATGGGTGGAGGTCAAGGTATTGGTGGAGGGCAAGTTATGGGCGGAGGGCAAGGTATGGGCGGAGGGCAAGGTATGGGCGGAGGCCAAGGTATGGGCGGAGGGCAAGGTATGGGCGAAGGCCAAGGTGTGGGTGGAGGGCAAGGTAGGGGCGGAGGCCAAGGTATGGGTGGAAGGCAAGGTTTGGGCGGAAATCAGGTTATGGGTGGAAGTCAAGGTAGTGGCAGAAATCAAGGTTTGGGTACAGGGCAAGGTTTGGGCGGAAATCAAGCTATGGGTGGAAATCAAGGTTTTGGTGGAAATCAAGCTATGGGTGGAAATCAAGGCTTTGGTGGAAACCAAGGTATGGGTGGAAATCAAGGTTTGGGTGGAAATCAAGGTAGGGGTGGAAATGAAGGGTTTGGTGGAAATCAAGGTAGGGGTGGAAATCAAGGTATGGGGGGAAATCAAGGTTTTGGTGGAAATCAAGGTATGGGTGGAAATCAAGGTTTGGATGGAAATCAAGCTATGGGTGGAGGTCAAGGTTTGGGTGGAAATCAAGGTGTGGGTGGAAATCAGGGTAGGGGTGGAAATCAAGGAATGAGGGGAAATCAAGGTTTGGGTGGAGGGCGAGGTATGGGTGGAAATCAAGGTAGGGGTGGAAATCAAGGTTTAGGTGGAAATCAAGGTATGGGTGGAAATCAAGGTATGGGTGGAAATCAAGGTTTTGGTGGAGGGCAAGGTATGGGTGGAAATCAAGGTTTTGGTGGAGGGCAAGGTAGGGGTCGAAATCAAGGTTTTGGTGGAAATCAAGGTTTTGGTGGAAATCAAGGTTTTGGTGGAGGGCAAGGTATGAGGGGAAATCAAGGTATGGGGGGAAATCAAGGTAGGGGTGGAAATCAAGGTAGGGGTGGAGGGCAAGGTATGAGGGGAAATCAAGGTTTTGGTGGAAATCAAGGTCAAGGTGGTGGGCGGGGTGTCGGAAGAGGGCAAGGTGTGAGTGGCGTGCAAGGTAGTGGTGGTTCTCGCGGCATGCGCTACGGCCAACATGTCACTGGATCGGGTCATGGTTCTCGGGGCTACGGTAATGGACAACAAAACTACAGGCAAAGTTCTGCAGCAAACATAGCGGCCAAGCGTGCTCGTGCGGTAAAATGTAAGTCATGTAAAGACAACGTATATATATTATTCATTTTATATGTAGTTTGTCGTCGGCCCCAACGTAAGTGTCCCGGGTTGGTTTTCTTTTGCTATATGTTGCCTATTGACCCTGATTTAACATTAGGACTGCCTTCGAGAGCGAAAGGCCGTGGGTTCGATCCCCGGCCGCGTCATACCAAAATAAGTTAAAAGTTAGTACTTGTTGTTACCCTGCCTGGCGTTCGGCATTTATGGGCTAAAACAAGGACTGGTAACAGGTCGGCTTTGAGTCAGAATATTGTGTCTGAGTATGGTATTAATGTTTAACTGCGGCATGTCATCACAGTGGACTAGCACTATGAAATTGGCATAAATCCGGACTCGTACAAGCAGCAACAAACACGCACGCACGCACGCACGCACGCACACCGCTATTTAAGTGCGATAGGCTTGAACGCGATGTTAAACCCCACTTCATCTCACCAGATTTAACATTGTGTTTTGAGCTAAGAAATCATGATCTCTTTCCTCAAAACACTGCGATTTCAATTTAATGTTTTATTTGTTGCGAATACAGATATATCAACTTCTTATTTACCATAAAACATGGACACGTCTTTGTGGGGATGATATTGCCCGTAGGGTCTACTCATGCCATGCCCTGGCGTAGGGATAACATACCATGGCAGAGTTGTTACAAGCATAGGGGTCGTGTCAAGGATACATAAGCGATCGTCCCGAAGCGATATTTCTAATAAGAATTTAACAAGGACAGAAATATTCTTTTACATTTATTATTTACAGTTTTGATATCTTCAAAATCGTCAGTTAAGAAACACAATTTAAAGCCAAAATGCCAGTCTTTGACGTGGTTAGTAGTCCGGGGCAATGTCGTGTTGAAGTCATACCCCTAGAGTTGGTCGTCACCCATCTACTGCTCCGTCAAATAATCTGCAAAGGCGCTGATCTTGGGATTGTGTTTTTCTACTTCTTTCAAAGCGCGAACCTAAAGGTCGCCGACATTACACTGTCTTAGCAGTGGGAGGGCAGAAGCACGTCGAACAAAGAGGTTTAACCTGCAACTGCACTATAAACAGCGCGAGATTTCGCGAGACATCTCAAATAAGGAGTGGCAATTTCAAACCAGTCACCTCTCCACTTGGGACATAGGAAAACCTCTAGCTTATTAAATAAACTAATCTGGATGCTTAATTTTGTCACATATGTAGTTAGTGACAGTGTGATTAAGCATGCGATCTTTTGTTAATAACAAACAACATTTTTGTAGCTTTCATAAATATTTCAACTGTTCTCTTTGAATGTTTACAGTTGTTGAGCATTTGAATGACGGGGTCAGAGTTCATTTGTCCTTGAAGAATGTGGCGGACATTTGCCAACTCTTACTTGATTATAAAATCTGTCTGGAATGAATTGTTACTGCCATCGGTGTCCCATGTATTCCATACCAAGTGGGTTTGGGTATAATCCACGAACAAGATGTAAAACACAGTCTGGCATTATTTCCCTGTCTCCAGTTCTGCCCTCCCACACTATTTCACCCCTTGTGTCTACCAGGCGGAGAATGCGAGTTTTCTTTATCTGAAGGGGCGGTCGGGTAGCCTAGTGGTTAAAGCGTTCGCTCGTCACGCCGAAGACCCGGGTTCGATTCCCGACATGGGTTCAATGTGTGAAGCCCATTTCTGGTGTCCCCCGCCGTGATATTGCTGGAAAATTGCTAAAAGCGGCGTAAAACCATACTCACTCACTCACTCACTCTTTATCTGATAATGAATTAGTTGCCAAGCACCTCTGTCATTCAGCATTTTCCAAAACGTTTTGCACTTCGACTTCCTCAGGGGTCTTTTCTCATTGGTTGGTGCCTAACCGCCTTTGCCTATTTTCGGTGACACTGGTATGCAGAAACAATGAGGACATTGGCCAACACTTACCTGTGGCTCAATGTTATCAGTGTTGTCAATGGTACCACCAACACCACCATCTGCAGCGGCTACCATCTCATGTTCTGAATCACTGTCGAATTAAATCTCTTCATTTCCAGCTCATGTATTTTGTGTGTTGTTGTCCCTTCCATATTCTTCGTGCACAAGGTCCAAGTTCAAGTCCATGAAGAATCTTTTATTGGTTTCTTTTGTTCTTCTGTTAGGCGAAGAGTGACACGTTTTTTGGTTTCCATCTTTTTTATTGTAGAATGCTTCACAGAATGAAACCTGCATGTGGGTAGGTAGAAAATCTCAAAAATGGGTTGGAAGTTGATCAGTTGATTTATATGTCTCGTAGTTCAGGAATACATGTTTCTTACTTCAAGTACAAAATGGCTCTGGCTGTGGTTCTGGTTTGGGACCTTTTCTTTGTGTGCTGCTGGTCATGTTTGCCTGTCTCGGTCTGCCGTCTGTCGTCTGTCTCTGTAAACCACCTCCGTATTCAAGGGGTAGCAGGGTTTTGCCCTTTGACCTGCCAGCATAGAGTCTGCCTCGTGGAGGACGTCAGCAGGCTCTTATTGTTGTTAACGTATTTGCTGAGTCCAGCAACCTCATTAGGAGTATGTGACTGAGGTTGTAGACTGACCCTCTGCTGGACAGCTATGTTACACTAAGCATCCTGTGTCAAACTGATACAATGATTATGTTTACTGGCATTTCCTGTGATAATGCATACAGTTCACGGCCTAAACAAGGATTCCCCTAACCCATATACGGTGTTTTAATCATCTGCTTGTCAGAAGCAAATGAATTATCATTAAAATGGAAAGAAGCATGAATGGTAAATGAGAAGGCATTTTATTGTGTTTAGATTAGCTACACACCCTAGTTACACGTTTCCGACTACCCTTATACGAATAGTGACAGAAAGCACTGATATACTGAAGTTTCCTTTTAAAATGGCATCTTCAATGCATAGGGATTACATTGAATTGAATTATACAAATGCTTCAACTGGTTCAACATTTGTTGATGCACGCATTCGAGACATTAATCGTCAACAAAATCCAAGAAAGAAAAGACCATCTGACAACGAAGTATCGCAGAAAGAGTGGAAAGTGAAGAGGAAATGAGCACAGTAAAAATATTTAATAAGATGGACTACACAAGTTACTTCTTGGACAAGGAAAAGTGTCTCAAGTAACAACATTCCAGTTTTTGACGACTGTCTTTGATGTCTTCCTTTCTCATAATGGCAAAGGTAGTGCTGACAGTGCTCCATGTACCTGACTGGATTGTACTGCTGACAACACGTTCTACAAATTACCAGTATTCCTCTTTGGTTAATGAAGACATGTTTATGTCCACTCCCTCTGATGTGGGTCATCTTGTACAGGTTGTTCAGGAACAAGTATCAAAATGTGGATGCAGTTTTCATGTTTTATACAATACAAAAGTGCGTTTGGCAAGCAAAATCAAATTAAAAAGCAGTAAAGACCATATTCTGGATTGATCTCCCTGTGTAGAAGGTGGGAAATTATAAGTCAATGTAAAGGCTGGACAAGGATATTTAGCATCGGGCATGCTTCCATCACAGTTCAACAAACTTTCTGAGGGCGCAGGATCAGGAAATATTGGAGAACCATATATGCAAGAGGTGCAACAGTCTTATGAAGAAATTGTAATAGATTTGTCCAATAACAGATTTGTCCGCAGGAAACAGCTCTACATGATGAAATTGCCTGGTCCATTACATCTGACACGAAAGAGGTTATTGGCATAATGACAAATGCGCGACATTGAAGAAATGCACGCTTTTCTGATGTTGTCTGGAGATAACACCCACAGCGTACTTAGATTAGAGACCATTTCAAGATTAGATGATCCCTTATACTCAAAGATATTGACTTCTTGGAGTTAAAAACGATTTATGACCATTTTGACAGGCTATACGTGCCAGTCTTGTACATTCACAATATAACAACGCATCAGTGACAAAATCTGAAAGATAACGAGGTGACGCTCAAAATGCTGATGACACCTGACACATGACAAAAGGTGTAACTAGATGCATTCGGAAATTTACTGAGGGGTCCAAGAAGAATGAAGGGAAGGTGTGGTAAATAGATCTGGACAACAAAGCTGGTTCTATTCGTACACGCATCTTTTGGGCAATGAAAACTTGTGAAAATCATCCAGAAAAGCTAAAGAACAATATCGACAACATTGTGGATCAATACAAGAGCTGCCAAAAAACTGCCATGCCACAACAAGATGCATAAGTGATCCAAAGTGTGAAACATAACCGAAACAGATCACAAATAAAGATACTGTGAATAGTATCATAAGAAGGTGATTATGTAAGCTGGTTGTTAAGCATTTACTCTCAAGCAACAGTGTGATAATATGAACTGTCAGTGAGTTTATATGAGTAGAAACTGAAATTTCAAAGTCATATTTTCATTCAGGTTGAGGATAATACTGTCCTTGACATACACGTAAGTTAAACTTTCTGCATATTAATCCTGTACATATAAGGCATTGCCCCTCCCTCTAGCGTCACATGGCATGGGCCATGTGAGGTTCTAACTATACCTCCAACTGGTGTGTCACAGCCTGCTTACTGTGTGGCAACCAGGATTGGACCCACCTGCTACAGGCAAGAATGTGCGGCACTACCCTACCGCGAGTTGCCGCAGATGCTCACCATCGTTAACTTGGCTCACTTGCTTGTGAGATGGCCCCTGTAATCCTCTATCTGTTTACCAATAAAACCGCTTCTTTGTTTTGCCAACCTTGAACAATAGAAGCGGGCATGTGGGGACGTCCCCGTACAAAGATCCATGTCTATTAAAGGCATCGTGGTACGCATTCAACTTTCCCGTCGTAAGCAAAGTAAGCAAGTGTTCTCTCACAAAGCAAGCTTGAAGAGTTATAAAATTTAAAAGATGTCACCTTTTAAAGCCATTCCATGAAAGATTGTCATTAAAGTATGCTGTTCCCGCAAAATATTAACCATTTGATCACCGCACTTAGTATATTACTTCTCAAGGATGGGACCCTGCTATGGCCCAGATTAATAATAGGTCAAGGTCACAAGGCCGTGTTACCTCCACAGGCATGCCACCTGATATGTATATTTTAAATTCCTACAATGTGAAATGTCAGCTGCATGCAATGTCAGATAAAAAGGTAAAGTAAACGTCCTTGTGGTGGTTATAATATTACCTGCTATTTACTTATGTATTATTATTGATAATGTGTGCGGTCCCAATGCTTGGTAGTTAAATTTGTGTGAGAAGTACTGGGGAGGAAGGCGAAGGTCATTGTCAGTGTGACAAGGTCAGATTAAGTGTAATGTTTACAGGAGTTTCATCCAGTGTCACAATGATATGCATAATGTCATTCCAGCATGTGGTCATTTATGAGTGAAATGACAAGTGTTTTAGAAAAGGGTGTGACGTATCAGACCAAGAGAGTTGATTTTATTTTCTTATCAGGTTAGCTAGAAGCATGGTACTTTTGATGTGAAAACCTAGTCATTTGTGTACTGAAAGCGAAAGTTTGTCTGTTTGTTAGTTGTTTAATGCCGCACTCTGCAATATTCCAGCTGTATGATGGCAGTCTGTAAATAATCGAGTCTGTACCAGGCAATCCAGTAATTGACATCATGAGCATCTATACGCAATTGGGATACGATGACGTTGGTCAACCAAGTCAGCGAGCTTGACTACCCGATCCCGTTAGTCGTTTCAAACGACTAGCATCATCGCCAATTCTTGACCAGTTCTACTGTGTGTCTGTGTGTGAGTGCGTGCGTGCGTGCGTGCGTGCGTGCGTGCGTGCGTGTGTTTGATGACAACATCTGCTCGGCAAAACTAACTCAGCCAACACATTAAAAAGGAAACTTGAGAATATACAAACTTACGTTGTAATTTACACATGTTAAATTTGAATTACCTTCGACGCCTGTAATGCCAAGGGTTTCTGTGTAACAAACCAGGATCCTGATAGTGATAAATAGACACCCAAATAGAAACAATTACAATGTATTCATTGTAAAGACCTAGTCCTGTTAAATAACGCAGTTTACCACCGTTTTATAATCCAACTCTTATCTATTAACCTTCCAATTCCAATTTTTAAAAATGTATCCGAATGCATTTGCAAACCAAAGAAAAAATCAAACAGTAACTATGTCGTACGCATATAATAAACTGACGATCTTTAGGAAGCATACCGATCGGTTTTTCAAAATGACGTTTAAATTCCACACATGTTGATGCAAATATTTTATTACGAAAGTATAATCATTTGGCGAGACAGATGAGAGGCCGACCATGTGATATTCTTCGGGGACCCTGGGATTTTGTCCAAAAACAGAAATTTCTTGAACAAAATAATACAGCTTTAGACTGTTGAAAAAAAGAAGAAATTGTCTGCCACAAAAAATACATTTGTTGCCAAAAGTTTTTCGTTTTCTTTAACATATATTCATGTTCATAGTTTTTTTGTTTTTTTAAAATATGGTTTTGCAGCTGTAGCTGAAAAAATATCTAATCTTCAGAAATGATGGATGATGCACACTGTCAGTCCTTGATACTCACTTGGCCACGTCACAGTTCGTTTACAGGCGGCCATCGCATGGCATGAGTACTACTGTTACCAGGCAACACACAAACACATAATTTATTTTATGAAAATTATGTGAGTGGCGGGTGCTGCCGGTAGAGCAGGTCACGCTTACCCTTTTCGCGAACACCTGGTGACATCACTGATTTTCAGTGATCCACTCCTTTAATGTTCACCGCTATTTTGTCTTTTACACGTAACTAAATTGATTTGTCGGATAATCGAGACTGGTTACGCTGAGGCGTTGACGTTTTATATCTGCAAAGAGTGGCCAGAATGACTGTCAATATCTAGCAACTATTTTAACCTACCGATCTACCTTTAATCAAGCCATTAGTAACAATATCCTTCATGTGATAATATAATGGGTCATATTTTTCCTTTCATGATTAAACCATATAATTTCACGATACGTTCTGTCGGTATATTCAAAATGTACTTATGGATACATTTGTCAATCAGTACTGTGAACTGCTGTAAGGTGTTAATGTCTTTTTTTCTCCGGTATTTGGACAGTAAACTGGTGAACAGTGAAGTATAAACATTTTCAAAAGAATGGAATTTCTCATTATCGATTTCAGAGATTATAAAATGTAAAAAATGGTAAAGAAACATTTGTTTGTTTCATTATTGATTTATTTCTTCTTCTTTCTCCTCCTCCCCTCTTCTTCTTCCTCTTCCTCCTTTTCTTCCTCTTACTCCTCTTCTTCCTTTTCTTCTTCTTCCTTTTCTACTTCTTCCTTTTCTTCCTCTTCTTCCTTTTCTTCTTCTTCCTTTTCTTCTTCTTCCTTTTCTTCTTTTACTTCTTCTTCTTCCTCTTCTTATCCATCATAGTTTTGCTGTCAATAAAGATGTATTTCCATATGTATTTGTTATCTGCCACCTACACTGTGTTTTTAAAACGTATGGTCCTTACGTCAAATAAATAAAACAAATAGCCATAGTTTTCCTTTTCCTGTCCATAGTCCGATCAGGTTTGCAAAAGTTAAAGAAAGAAGAACGGGCAGCGTTTGTCGTAGCAGCCATTGTCCATAAGGGGAAGAAGTCCCTGGAGCAGAGCAAGTCTACAGGGAACCTTCTCAAGTCCGTCAATATTGTCTCCACCTTAGCGTCCGTCGTGAACCGTATTGTGAGTATACTGAGTAAAATAGAATCACTTGATGTTAGGTGTGTTCATGAATCATAAAGTGATAATACTGAGTAACACAGGAACTTTTTATGTAAATTAGTCCATGAATCATATTGTGATCATACTGTGTAATCCAGGAACATTTCATGTAAATTGGCCCATGAGTCATTAAGTGATACCACTGATTAAACACGGTCATTTTATGTAAATTGTTCCATGAATCATAAGTGATAATACTGTGTAAAACTGGGTCATTTTATGTAAATTGGTCCATGAAACATAAAGTGATAATACTGAGTAATCCATGGTCATTTTATGTAAATTGTTCCATGAATCATAAGTGATTATACTGAGTAATACATGGCCATTTTATGTAAATTGTTCCATGAATCATAAGTGATTATACTGAGTAATACATGGCCATTTTATGTAAATTGGTCCATGAATCATAAAGTGATAATACTGAGTAATACATGGCCATTTTATGTAAATTGGTCCATGAATCATAAGTGATTATACTGAGTAATACATGGCCATTTTATGTAAATTGGTCCATGAATCATAAGTGATTATACTGAGTAATACATGGCCATTTTATGTAAATTGGTCCATGAATCATAAAGTGATAATACTGAGTAATACATGGCCATTTTATGTAAATTGGTCCATGAATCATAAGTGATAATACTGAGTAAAAGAGGGTCATTTTATGTAAATTAGTCCTTGAATCATACTGTGACCATTCCGTGTAATACAGGGTCATTTCATGTTAGGATGATTGATGTTAGGTTAATCCATGCATGATAACGTTTTAATGATAAGTGAATATATTCATACGTTGTTCGTTCCTTGTCAAGTCTATTTTATAGAGCACATGGTTTGTAGCAATTGTGAAACCTGTTTATAAAACTTTTCCTCATGTACAAGTGTAACAACATTACAGAGGGAAAATACATATCAATATATTCATTACACTGGACAATTTGATAATATAGATCGCTGTATGATGAGTTTGAAAATCACTCAAATGACCTTCTTTCGACCTCCACAATGAATCTCACGTGTATGTAAGGGTGAGAGTGAGTGAGTGTGGTTTTACGCCGCTTTTAGCAATATTCAAGCAATATCACGGCGGGGTACACCAGAAATGGGCTTCACACATTGTATCCATGTCGGGAATCGAACCCGGGTCTTCGGCGTGACGAGCGAACGCTTTAACCACTAGGCTACCCGACGGCCCCGGTGTATGTAAGGAATACAATTGGACAATCAACCCTGCTCTCTTGCTCCATTCGTTGTATTCCTTTCCAGCCAGTGTCTGATGATGAGAGTTTGGTTACTAAAACCATGAAAGATGGGCAGTCGGACAACAAGTGGGGTGAACTCTGGAAAGACGTCAAAAAGCCGACGAGCACAATAGCAAAGAAAATCATCGCCCACGTGAGTAACAGCTTAGAGAAGCGTTCGTAAAAGCATGCATTACCACAGCTTCGCGTCACTCCCTCCGGCAGTCGACTTCCCAACTTGGAAGTCCGATTTCATATACTATGCGTCAAAAAGTGAGAGAAAATGTTCGACGTAGTGTATCGTCTATTGTAATATTAATATATACAGTCATAAATATAATAATTGGACTGACACGCCCGAAAATCACGCTCAAAGCGGCGTGAAGCCCAAACCATCCCACTTACTCTTTTGGTGAGGGGCTCGGCTGTCCCAGTCGTCGAATGCCCCGCATTTTGCTGTGAAAGTTGCTGCCCTTAGGGTCGCCAGAAACGACATGATCATGGGTTCGAATTCCGGTTCGCCCTTTCTTATGTTGTCAACAACATATCCTTTCTCGTTGGTTTTACTTGACTGAAAGAAAGAAAAAACTTCTTTCCATATCAAAGCACATGAAATACAAGACCCGTGAAGATCCGAGGTAGAAAAGATCTTTAGCAACCCATGCTTGCCGTAAAAGGCGACTATGCTTGTCGTAGGAGGCGACTAACGGGATCGGGTGGTCAGGCTCGCTGACTTGGTTGATGCATGTCATAGTATCCCAATTGCGTGGATCGATTGCTCATGATGTCAATCACTGGATTGTCTGGTCCAGACTCGATTATTTACATACCGACGTCATATAGCTTGAATATTGCTGAGTGTGGCGTTAAACAACCAACAAAAACAAACAAACATGAAATGCTGGCCAAAGCGGCGTTGAATCAAACTCACTCACTCACTCACACACCCAATTGTTACAGTCGAGGGAAGATATGGTTGACATTCTGAACCACAGCTCAAGTCAGATCAGCAGTATGAATGGTGACCAAGTCGGAGCCCTTGCTGGTGGTCTGGCCATGGTGTTGGCGGTGCCGTCACGTACATCACTGCAAGCGGCGGTAAAATATATGTTTGTGTGTTGTTTAATGCGGCAGTCATCACGATTACAGCAACAGTCAGGCGGTAACTGTACATCGGGTTGTGTGGATTGTACCTGTACATCTGGTTGGGGTGAATTGTAACTGTACATCGGGTTGTGTGGATTGTTACTGTACATCGTGTTGTGTGGATTGTAACTGTACATCGGGTTGTGTGGATTGTTACTGTACATCGTGTTGTGTGGATTCTAACTGTACATCGGGTTGTGTCGATTGTACCTGTACATCGGGTTGGGGTGGATTGTAACTGTACATCAGGTTCTGTGGATTGTTACTGTACATCGTGTTGTGTGGATTGTAACTGTACATCGGGTTGTGTGGATTGTAACTGTACATCGTGTTGTGTGGATTGTAACTGTACACCAGGTTGTGTGGATTGTACCTGTACATCAGGTTGGAGTGGATAGTAACTGTACATCGTGTTGTGTGGATTGTAACTGTACATCGGGTTGGGGTGGATTGTAACTGTACATCAGGTTGTGTGGATTGCAACTGTACACCAGGTATGAGTGGATTGTAACTGTACACCAGGTTTGAGTCGATTGTAACTGTACATCGGGTTGTGTGGATTGTAACTGTACATCGGGTTGTGTGGGTTGTAACTGTACACCAGGTTGGGGTGGATTGTAACTGTACATCGTGTTGTGTGGGTTGTAACTGTACATCAGGTTGGAGTGGATTGTAACTGTACATCAGGTTGTGTGGGTTGTAACTGTACACCAGGTTGGAGTGGATTGTAACTGTACACCAGGTTGGGGTGGATTGTAACTGTACACCAGGTTGGAGTGGATTCTAACTGTACACCGGGTTGGGGTGGATTGTAACTGTACACCAGGTTGGGGTGGATTGTAACTGTACACAAGGTTGGGGTGGATTGTAACTGTACACAAGGTTGGAGTGGATTGTAATTGTACATCAGGTTGGAGTGGATTGTAACTGTACATCAGGTTGGAGTGGGTTGTAACTGTACACCAGGTTGGAGTGGATTGTAACTGTACATCGGGTTGTGTGGATTGTAACTGTACACCAGGTTGGGGTGGATTGTAACTGTACACCGGGTTGGAGTGGATAGTAACTGTACATCGGGTTGGGGTGGATTGTAACTGTACACCAGGTTGGGGTGGATTGTAACTGTACACCAGGTTGGGGTGGATTGTAACTGTACACCAGGTTGGGGTGGATTGTAACTGTACACCAGGTTGGGGTGGATTGTAACTGTACACCAGGTTGGAGTGGATTGTAACTGTACATCGGGTTGTGTGGATTGTAACTGTACATCAGGTTGAGGTGGATTGTAACTGTACCCCAGGTTGGAGTGGATTGTAACTGTACACCAGGTTGTGTGGGTTGTAACTGTACATCAGGTTGGAGTGGATTGTAACTGTACACCGGGTTGGAGTGGATTGTAACTGTACTCCAGGTTGGGGTGTGTTGTAACTGTACATCAGGTTGGAGTGGATTGTAACTGTACACCAGGTTGGGATGGATTGTAACTGTACTCCAGGTTTGGGTGGATTGTAACTGTACACCAGGTTGGAGTGGATTGTAACTGTAGACCAGGTTGGAGTGGATTGTAACTGTACACCATGGTGGAGTGGATTGTAACTGTACACCAGGTTGGGGTGGATTGTAACTGTACACCAGGTTGGAGTGGATTGTAACTGTACACCAGGTTGGGGTGGATTGTAACTGTACACCAGGTTGGAGTGGATTGTAACTGTACAACAGGTTGGAGTGGATTGTATCTGTACATCAGGTTGGGGTGGGTTGTAACTGTACATCAGGTTGTGTGGGTTGTAACTGTACACCAGGTTGGGGTGGATTGTAACTGTACACCAGGTTGGGGTGGATTGTAAACTGTACACCAGGTTGGAGTGGATTGTAACTGTACACCAGGTTGGAGTGGATTGTAACTGTACACCAGGTTGTGTGGGTTGTAACTGTACATCAGGTTGGAGTGGATTGTAACTGTAGACCAGGTTGGAGTGGATTGTAACTGTACACCATGGTGGAGTGGATTGTAACTGTACACCAGTTTGGGGTGGATTGTAACTGTACACCAGGTTGGAGTGGATTGTAACTGTACATCAGGTTGTGTGGGTTGTAACTGTACATCAGGTTGTGTGGGTTGTAACTGTACACCAGGTTGGGGTGGATTGTAACTGTACACCAGGTTGGGGTGGATTGTAAACTGTACACCAGGTTGGAGTGGATTGTAACTGTACACCAGGTTGTGTGGGTTGTAACTGTACATCAGGTTGGAGTGGATTGTAACTGTACACCGGGTTGGAGTGGATTGTAACTGTACTCCAGGTTGGGTTGGGTTGTAACTGTACATCAGGTTGTAGTGGATTGTAACTGTACACCAGGTTGGGATGGATTGTAACTGTACTCCAGGTTGGAGTGGATTGTTACTGTACACCAGGTTGTGTGGGTTGTAACAGTAGACCAGGTTGGAGAGGATTGTAACTGTACACCATGGTGGAGTGGATTGTAACTGTACACCAGGTTGGGGTGGATTGTAACTGTACACCAGGTTGGAGTGGATTGTAACTGTACACCAGGTTGGAGTGGATTGTAACTGTACACCAGGTTGGAGTGGATTGTAACTGTACACCGGGTTGGGGGTGGATTGTAACTGTACACCAGGTTGGGGTGGATTGTAGCTGTACACCAGGTTGGAGTGGATTGTAACTGTACCCCAGGTTGGAGTGGATTGTAACTGTACACCGGGTTGGGGTGGATTGTAACTGTACACCAGGTTGGGGTGGATTGTAACTGTACACCAGGTTGGAGTGGATTGTAACTGTACACAAGGTTGGGGTGGATTGTAACTGTACCCCAGGTTGGAGTGGATTGTAACTGTACACCGGGTTGGGGTGGATTGTAACTGTACACCAGGTTGGGGTGGATTGTAACTGTACACCAGGTTGGAGTGGATTGTAACTGTACACCAGGTTGGAGTGGATTGTAATTGTACACCAGGTTGGGGTGAATTGTAACTGTACTCCAGGTTGGAGTGGATTGTAACTGTACACCGGGTTGGGGTGGATTGTAACTGTACACTGGGTTGGGGTGGATTGTAACTGTACACCAGGTTGGGGTGGATTGTAACTGTACATCGTGTTATGTGGATTGTAACTGTACACCAGGTTGGGGTGGATTGTAACTGTACACCAGGTTGGAGTGGATTGTAACTGTACATCGGGTTGTGTGGATTGTACCTGTCCATCGGGTTGTGTGGATTGTAACTGTACACCAGGTTGGAGTGGATTGTAACTGTACATCGGGTTGTGTGGATTGTACCTGTCCATCGGGTTGTGTGGATTGTAACTGTACACCAGGTTGGAGTGGATTGTAACTGTACATCGGGTTGTGTGGATTGTACCTGTCCATCGGGTTGTGTGGATTGTAACTGTACACCAGGTTGGAGTGGATTGTAACTGTACATCGGGTTGTGTGGATTGTACCTGTCCATCGGGTTGTGTGGATTGTAACTGTACATCAGGTTGGGGTGGATTGTAAATGTACATCGTTTACGGGTGTATTGTAACTGTACACCAGGTTGGAGTGGATTGTAACTGTACCCCAGGTTGGAGTGGATTGTAACTGTACACCGGGTTGGGGTGGATTGTAACTGTACACCAGGTTGGGGTGGATTGTAACTGTACACCAGGTTGGAGTGGATTGTAACTGTACACAAGGTTGGGGTGGATTGTAACTGTACCCCAGGTTGGAGTGGATTGTAACTGTACACCGGGTTGGGGTGGATTGTAACTGTACACCAGGTTGGGGTGGATTGTAACTGTACACCAGGTTGGAGTGGATTGTAACTGTACACCAGGTTGGAGTGGATTGTAATTGTACACCAGGTTGGGGTGAATTGTAACTGTACTCCAGGTTGGAGTGGATTGTAACTGTACACCGGGTTGGGGTGGATTGTAACTGTACACTGGGTTGGGGTGGATTGTAACTGTACACCAGGTTGGGGTGGATTGTAACTGTACATCGTGTTATGTGGATTGTAACTGTACACCAGGTTGGGGTGGATTGTAACTGTACACCAGGTTGGAGTGGATTGTAACTGTACATCGGGTTGTGTGGATTGTACCTGTCCATCGGGTTGTGTGGATTGTAACTGTACACCAGGTTGGAGTGGATTGTAACTGTACATCGGGTTGTGTGGATTGTACCTGTCCATCGGGTTGTGTGGATTGTAACTGTACACCAGGTTGGAGTGGATTGTAACTGTACATCGGGTTGTGTGGATTGTACCTGTCCATCGGGTTGTGTGGATTGTAACTGTACACCAGGTTGGAGTGGATTGTAACTGTACATCGGGTTGTGTGGATTGTACCTGTCCATCGGGTTGTGTGGATTGTAACTGTACATCAGGTTGGAGTGGATTGTAAATGTACATCGTTTACGGGTGTATTGTAACTGTACATAAGGTTGGGTTGATTGTAACTGTACAACGGGTTGGAGTGTATTGTTTCCTTTCTCGTTCTATCGTGTATAAACTCACGCGCGTTGTTTTTCTGGAGTTTCTGATATGATATGGAGACCCACTGCAATACCCATCTGTAGTCAAAAAGCTGCCTTTAACGTACGGATATTATGATGTCTTTGAGATCACGGATTTAATTTGTATCCGTATATAACTGTATGAACATGTAACTGTATGTAGTGGTGTATACACTAAGGACTTCACTAACATTATGAAACTCGAATTGTTTATAAAGGTGAAGAGCGTCGGTATTGGGTTGAAGGCTGCTAAACAACTCCAAAACATCACCACTCAAAGACCCTATCCGGCCAAGGAGGAAATCGAGCATGGATCAAAAGGTTGGTGGAATAAAAATACCATGCACAATTCAGATACCCACAGACTCTTGCTTAATGCTTTCAGTTTATACTGAAATGTGTTAGAAAAAAATCAAGTTATCCTCATCTATGGATGTATCTTCCCGAATAATATTATTGGACGTTCAAAAAGGCACTCCCGACTAGTGAAGGTTGAAGTAGTCCAAATACAACGAGGAACAAGTCCTAAAATGAATGTGTACAATACGTATGTGGAATAATCGTAACGCACCAGCGAGAGAGACCTCGCCCTCTGCAGACAGAAGTAACATCGGATCACACGAACCTTGCCGGCAGTGGATGACACTTGCCTCTCGGAATGAACTTGGCGTTAGAAGTTTCCCTGAAGTCATAGCCGACGAATGTGTACGTATAGAATATTTCGACAACGCATTTCAGTCGCGACCCAGAACGTTAGCTCAGACATGTATAGGTTGCGATGAAGTCTTCGTGAAAGTAACTTCAGCAAACTCAAGATATGTCGGTGTCAGTGAACAAGGTGGCATGGCTGGGTAAAAAACATTATGGGCCTCTCGTCAGCCTTAGAAGAAATTCCAGGTCGTGGTTGGCAGACAGAATTTCTGTGAAACCTCTTGTCGTCGTGTGAATCAGCTAGATAGCTAGTAAAACAACTGGTTTGTAATAATGTAAGCGTCAATGCTTGGTCCTAGTGCCTATAAGGATTACAACTTGTAAATGAAGTTACATCATCTTAATCGAGTTAACCGATGGCGAGTTAACCGGAGTCAAATGTTAAAGCATTCTGAAACAGTGAAAGCGTCATTAACTCGAACTCCTTTAACTTGACATATTGCATCTATATGATCTTTAGAGGCTCTATGGTTTAATATCACCACACTGGCTATCTCGAATAACGGATAACGATATATTTTCGATGGTCTCCAGGACCAAGTAAACAAGGTAGATATATCTAAGTGGTAATTCTTATTGCCGCAGCGTCAGCGTGAGTATTTCTTATAACCCAGATAGTTCATGTCTATAAAAAGTACTTTCTTATTTTGGGTAAATATATGTATATGTCAACCATATCTGACATCACTAAGTCCTGTAAGAATATCACTAAAACATTATCAATGCGTCTTCTTGTGATATTCACAAAGATCTGTAGACCTTTGAATAATATATTAATTTGACCTGAAACTAAACCTTCTGTTATCTATTTGTAGTAAAAATAGACACTATTACCATGAATATTATTCCCCACACAAAAGATATTGTTCTACTTTAACATACTAGTAGTATCATTAACTCTCTAACCAATAGGTCGATGGGTCGATGGCCTACTCACATTTCTCGAAAAAACATTTAGAATATACTTCTAATGGAAACTCGTTTATCAAGTATAATATTATACAAAACAGTGTTTGAGCCGAAAGTCGTGGACTCAAATATTTATACGAGATGTGGTTGAAAAGTTCTGAGATAAACTAAGAAGGATGTAAAGTACTGTCAACTTTTACTTGACTCTAAAACCTGAAGACATGTCCATTCCTTTTTTGTGTGGATTCCAAAGCTCTATTAAAATCCATACAAATAGAGATATATTGCTTGGTCCAGCAAATGTACCACCAAATCCCTGTCTCAAAAAGACTAACCATAATACTTAATACAATCAAAAAAGGACTTTCTATATATTCACAGAAGGTATTTGAGACAAGTGGAATTAATGTCATGTTGATTCTCAAAAACTCAAGGATTTGCTTGACGTTTTCCAATCTCAGAAAAGAAGTTCCATTCTGTATAATTTTTCAACTTTGTACACCACTATCCCACATGACAAACTTAAGGAAAACTTCATGTCTTGATCCATGGGGCTTTTGTTTGAAAACGTGGTGAACACAGATACAGTTACGTATCTATATTCAGAGATTCAGGGCAATTTGTGAAAAATAAAACCAAATGCCATCTGAAGCTTGCTGAGAAAACAATATGTGAAATGCTGGACTTCTTCATTGATAACATCCACGTAAACTTTGCGAGTGAGACATTTAGGCAAGAAGTAGGCATCCCCATGCGCATCAATAGTGCTCCCCTTCTTGCGGATCTGTTTCTTTAGGCATATGAATCGGAATTTCTCTTCGGATTGGCAAAGTCAAAACAAGGTAATTTGGCCAAGAAGTTTAACTTATGCTTCAGGTATATCGATGATCTGATATCGCCCAATAACAATCAAATAGCCAAATCCCTTCCACTGATTTACTCACCTTAACTAGAAATAAAGGTGACCAGAATTACCGTCTCATCTGTTTCATATTTAGATCTAAGCATAAAGATTCAGACTGACAAAACACTCTGCACAAGACTGTATGACAAGAGGGATGACTTCAACTGTCGAGCAATATTCCAGCAGCTCCAGCATTTGTTGTTTACATTTCGCAATTTTTGAGATACAATCGAGCATGCATTTCTACCGAGATTTCAAAGAGTGTCACACGACTCTTGCTCAGAAGTTGTTTGATCAAGGTTACAACTTTCAAGGCCTCAGTAAAGCTTTCAAAAAGTTTTATGGTAGACATGTGGAGGACATTTCCAAATTTGACGCATCAGTGACAAAACTGATGTCCGATGCAATTCCCTATTTTGACTTCTACCATTTGTTTCCAACTTGTTATGAGGTGAACAATTGGCTTGCCTTTGCATGTGTTTGTGACGGTTGCCACCGGTAGGGCAGGGTACGCTCACCTTTTCGCGAACACCTGGTATCATTACTATTCGATAGTTATTCATGCTGATTATACAGTCGGAATTGTACAATCGACTCTGCTTCAGGCAGAGATTTCTATTAGATATGGAAAGGGTTTTGTCGCTTTATTGTACATCCTCAGCAGTTTGCATGTATTAAGTACAATACCTTTCATGGTGATAGGCTCCATTTGCACCTAATACGCAACCAGGCAGCATGTTTCTGCAGGCATCAAAGTGACTAGGTATTCTTTGTTAATGGATATCGCGCTGTCATCAAGTATTGCATCTGAAAGAGCGAACTCCAACAGCCATCAATGTAGGCGCGGACTTTTGGGGATGATGCCCCTTCCTTTGCCACTGATGGTGAGATGGAGTTCAAGAGGGAAAGAGAGAAAATCCAAGACCAGGGTGACCTTCAACTGCCAACAACAAGGCAAATACTGATGACATACATGTTATGATTATGGATGATCGACGACTCACGTAGCCAATACATAGTATAATTGTGAACACAGGAATAAAGCTGTTATGACAAAGGTTCCAGCAAGCTTGCTTCCAAGACCAGAAACGCTCATGGTTCATCATCACTCGTGAGAAGTTACATCAATAAGAAGCAGGCTTAGCTGATTTTGTTGAGCTATTTGTAATTATGAATGAGTCTTGGGTTCATCACTATCAGCCAGAGAAGCAGCGGACTCCACCAGTACAATGCACCTATGCACATGTATGCTGTCGCCATAGCTGCACTTCACCAGACTTGGCACCGTCAGATTTCCACCGCTTTCCAAATTTGAAGAAAGAGCCGTCTTGTAAGAATTATGCAAATGATGATTGCGTCATTTCTGTTGAAGAGGACCTTTTACGCCACCAACCAACTCCGTCATAGTAAGACTCAGAAACTTTGTGTATATGAAACCACCTGCCTATTAAATGTTACAATGCTGGATGTCATCTTTTTAAACCATGTGCCTTTGTGTGTCAAAATATATATTTATATCTCAAGTATGAAATAAACAATCTTTAGACACATTACTAAATATTACTAATATATTGCCTCCAGAAATAACAAAACTGTAAACTTTGTTAAAAAAAGGGAAATGTAAAGCATTTATGTTGAGAGTACATGCTTGAAATATTGCATCCTATATGTGCCTTCTAAAGAACCTTAAGCCAGTGTATATATGGAAAGATGATCTACTTTTATGTACCAATACCATGACTATTCAACACAATGATGAACATTTCTTTTCTGATTTTTTATATATTTCATGTTATTGTTTTATGTTTTATATTTTCCTACTATAATTATTTCTCCTTGTTTACCCAGATCCTCGTTTAGTCATCACATGCTCATGACGTCAAAATATATCGAGTAATTCATAAGTGGTTGCTTTCTTCGTCATTGTTCATCATTGGCTTTCTGCTATGATCTGATTGTACTGAACACAGAATAAGCTCCACCATATTACTCACACTGGTAAGCTACATTCCATGACTCTACTGATGCTGTTCCATCCCTGTTCTCAGGAGTGGTGAAGTACCTTGGAAAGTTGTTGGAGACGACAACACCCGACTCTTCACTGCGCATGCCTAAAGAGATATCCGAGGACACCATGAGCACCCCGACCGACGCGTCCGACACTCACTATGAGGAGAATTTGTTCCTCATGAGAAAGAACGCCAAGCTGAATAAGATAAATGCCATGAAACAAGCCAAGGCGGTGTGTACAACAGTAATGGCTTGAGAGTAGTTTATGAAGATAAAATGGATCTAAAGATTTTTATCAAAAAGCGGCCCATGGCAACTATTGCAAATGAAATATTACACATCTTTGTAAATGGTACTATCTTCAATTTTAAAAAGAAAAAAATCATGAGCAAAGATTTCTGAAACAATTTCTGGCAAGGTCTTGTTTACAGTCTATGCTGCATAGAAAATGATAAAATCCCAAACACACATGAATTCTCGAAACTCCCAATTTTATAACACTAAATTTCAAATTATTCATCACATGGCAAGATAATGGGTTAAGAAACGTGCATGACCCATTCTTCAAATCAGGCCATTTACGTGAACTTAGAGTAATAAAAGGACGGTTTGATGTTACTGGAACATACTTATCACAATTCTAATTAATAAAAACACTGAATGATCGATCTGTTTCATTCAGTAAAGATATCGACAGACAATGATGTTATTACACGTCTTTGAACGCTGAAATCTATAACATGTTGTTTGATGAGATGAGTGTACTAGAAAACAAATTGGTCACGAAATTGGAATCTAAATACCGCCATCAAATGAACACCTCTCTCCATGTGTTTTAAATGTATTGATGAATGCAGCATTGACAATAAAACTAGAAACTGTCAGTACAAAATATTGCACCGCAATAGTAATAGAAGAAGTGTAGATGGTTACAAAACCATCGAGTTGTGTTGGTCTAGGACTGGGGTGACTATGCTTGTCGTAAGAGGTAACAGGTTCGGGTAGTTAGGCTCGCTGACTTGGTTGACCCAATTGCCAATTGCGTAGATCGATGCTCATGCTGCCAATCGACTCGTGAAGATCCGGGGTAGAATAGGTCTTTAGTAACCCATGCTTGCCGTACAAGGCGACTATGCTTGTCGTAAGAGGCGACTAACGGGATCGGGTGGTCAGGCTCGCTGATTTTGTTGAAGCATGTCATCGACCGCCGTCATATAGCTGGAATATTGCTGAGTGCGGTTTAAAACAACCAACCAACCAACCAACCAACCAACATGTCAATCACTTGATTGTCTCCTATGTACATTCATATCTATCTTACCATTTCATGCTGCGTATTATCGCCTATTTATGTTTCAAATGTTTACAAATTCTCAACCACCCCCTAGTCACGTGGTGATGTAGAGAAGACAATATTATATTAGCCCTATATCGACGGACAATCTATGTAATAATAGTTATGTGTCTTGGTTGTGATCCAGACAAAGAAAGTGTTACCCAAAGTGAAGCAGGCCATTGAACATGTCCTGAATACCATGGAGAGCATGGTCGTGAAGAACCAGAAACCGCTGACCTACAAGACCGATACATTGAGCGTGGCAGTGCAGAAGAAGAGTCCAAACAACATCGGTGACGTAATCCGTACAGAGGAGTTTGAGTTTAAATTTGTGGCACCTTCAGTGGGGACAAATATGTTGGAATCCCTGAAAGATCCAGTTGTTGATGTGAGTACATTCACGTTGCAATAAATGAAAGTAATAAAACCCATTTTCATAAGTCTTAGAAATCTCCATTCTCCTAGATCGTAGGCATGTGTTTATGAATCACTATCAACAACCGGATCCTGTCCCACGGGCAGCACCCGTCCCAAACACATGCAAAGGCAAGTCAGTTAGTTTCCTGAAAACACCGGAGCTTATGGTAGAAGTCCAAATAGATCATTCCATCGGACATAATTTTGGTCACTGACCAAATCTGGAAATGTCCTCCACATGGCTACCATAAACTTTTGAAAGCTATACCAAGGTCAAGAATATTGAAACCATGATCAAACAACTTTTGAGAGCATGGTCGATTGCACTTCAAATGTTGATATATGCAAAATAGTATAATGTATACAGCCTTGCGTTTGTGATATCCGGACCGAAATAGAAGGTGATGGACCAGATGGCATTCGCTGTACGTAGTTGTGTCCCTTGACCGTGTCAGGAGTCGGTGATCGACGAATTGATTCCAATAAGATGCATGGTCTTTCAGCACCTACCTGTTCTCCTGTGACTTACTATTAAGGTTTTACAACCGAGTTACCGTCACGTCATGAGTGAGTGAGTGAGTTGGGTTTAACGCCGCTTTTAACAGTATTCCAGTTATATCACGGCGTGTCAGCTTAATGTGGGAGGAAAGCCCGAAGTGATGCAGGTCTCAGACGTTTACCACTTCGGTGAAACCCACGAGCACGGGTATGGTGCTGACAAACCTAGAAACATAATCGGTGCGAACCCCCCAATCCCCCACCCACCCACCCCACCCACCCCACCCCAACCCCATCCCCCCATCACGTCATGATACACCTTCAGGAGTATTTCCAGCCTAAAGCACTCTTTGTCGTAATATGCTGACATTATTTTGAACATATCAGTAAGTTTTGAAACCGAGCACTGAGAATTGTTTGAATGTGTCTTGCTGTATTTCTAGACGCTAACATAACCAGTTATATATATGTTTTAGGCACCCTTGTCCAACATATCATGTCGTTAAACTCACTCATCATAGGATGGATTACATTGTAATGTCATTAACAAATGTACACGTGTTAGCTTAGTAATCCCTGTAATCTGCTGGAGAGCTAGCATAACGAAACTTGGCGTTACGGGTACGTCTACAGCTAGTTTATGCATGTTTGACATGCTATACACCTATTATGACGCCATCAGTACAAGCCGTACCGGGACACCTGTATCCCTTGCTTCAGATAGGTTAACGCAATAAATAACACCGTTCTACTCTATTTGTCATAGCGACATGTTTCCAGGCAGAGGGAATAATGCCTGATCAGATTGATACCTCAAATAACATTGATTCAGGATTCCATGTGTACAAAATCACGAATCAAGGGCAGGTAACTCCTATTGATGCACTAACATGGTCAGATCATATTACCAGGACTATATATGGAGAGAATCTCGAGTGTTGATATATTTGATATCAAAAGACACTCGGGTGAGATTTTATTTATCAGCCAACGTCATTCTTCCAACGTTTTCAGTTTGTAGACAGTAAGTGTAACACGTATTGCTTGCAGTTTCAGTAGCAGAACCATTAGTGACGTCATTTGATTGTGACGTCACGTAACCAATGACGTCACAATGGTCTGCAAAGCATTGTGATGCAATTTCATTACAGCGATATCTACAATGTAGACATGCTTGACCTCACCCAAGCGATATCTCCTGTGGGAGCGAGTTTTGGATGATAAACTTCAATCTGGCCTCCACATGCGATATTGCTTGGGTGAGATCCTAGGAGATATGCTGCAAAGCAATTGCATAATAATACTTTTTTAAGACCATCGTGACTTTATAATCAAATGGCATCTGCCACTGAAGCTGGTTAGCTGTACTTTTTACACTCAAGACACTGCTTATTACTGTATATAAGTTAGTTGCGCGATAAATCGCAAAGAACAGGGAAAAACGAAGTGTGTGGGTTTTTTTCACGATAAAACATTGCTGTGTCGTGACCTCATTTCTGGAGATTCGACCATGTGCTCGCAACTTGATGACGTCGTAAATTGGAGGACGTTATCTTTGAGAGGGGGGTGTCCAGTGAGTTGTTCCCAACAGACGTAGCTGGGCAAAGCACATAAATGCGATGGCCGAACTATCTAATCCAAAAGCGGGAGAGACATGACAATCGGTATTGGGAGAAAAAGCGGGAGATACATGACAATCGGTATTGGGAGAAAAAGCGGGAGAGACATGACAATCGGTATTGGGAGAAAAAGCGGGAGAGACATGACAATCGGTATTTTGGAGAAAAGGTACAGGTTTTCGACGTGAGGATGCTGCGAATATGCGTGAAATACCCACATGTGCATAAAACGGACTTGTCCGACATTGCCGAGGTTGGAGTATATTGAGGGACTCATCATTATTTAAATGCGGGTAAATATTTTTAAAGCTTGTATATTTTATTATCATCCATAAAATGGCTGCGCCCCTCATGGTTTATTCTCCCTGCAGTGTTTTGTTTTACGATTAACAACTCCCACTTGCCGTTTATTTCTTAATTACAAGATGAAAGGTTGGAAGAATGATATTGGTTTACAAATCGAATTTCGCAGTCTTTTGATATGAAGGGAAACCTCGGAGTATTGAATGTTGTTATATTTCATATCAAAAGACACTCGGGTGCGAATCTCTCTGTATAACATGGAACAGTTTCAATTTAATCCAATGCCGTAATAAAAGGTCATGAAATTAACGAGACTTACCGATCATTGAGTGAACCTGACCATATATTAGTCAAACTAACAAACGGTGCCACTTACAGGATCACATCGCTGTCTGTAGACATTCCTTGTCACAAGTCACAAGTACAGTTTATATAAATCAGACACACACCATAATTCACATTCAATAGTGCCGTTCAGGAATGAGTATTCTTCAGTAACCGTAACGGCCAGAATCTCACAAACTCATACTTACGTTTCAGACCGTGGTTTTCAAAAATAATCCCTTTGTAAATTCGGCTGATGGATCCTCTGACGACATCACGTCCTCCGTTCTTGAACTTACACTGAAGGATAACAACCAGACCATCATCGATGTTCCTCTGAAGCTGAAGATCCGGTCGCCAAGCCCTGCAAAGGAAAACATCTATCACATGAAGGAAACTATGTCTGGTCCGTCACAGATGATGTACCATCGCTTCCTCCTCAGAAACACCGAGGACTCCACCTTTATCTATGTCAGAACACCACCCCAGGTGACGAACGTTACCGGTTATCTTCGCAGTGGTCGTGCACCTACAATGAAGAAATTTGACGTGAAAGTAGTTGGTCTTAAAGAGGAATGGAAGGGCCAGGATGCTTACAAAATTATTATACCCGCTCATTCTTTGAAAAATGGCACAGTCTACTTGGCACTGAAAATGACGTTCCTGCCAGGGACCGTACTCCATGGGAGAACAAAGCGTGAGTTGAGAAGATAATATTTGTCACTTCTACGTCTTCGGTTTAAATAATGATAATACGTTTGTGGGGAGTGGATGTAAGCCGTTGTGAATATGTCATAATAGTGAAAAAAGAGCCACCATTTGATAGAATCAGAAGCTGGACGTGATGCATTCCTTACGTATTTCAACATCTATTGAAATTTCTAAACCTTGTTAGAACCTTGTTAGAACAAAAGTACGCCCTGTATTATTTTGGGCTTCCCTCCCTGAAGCTGGCACGTCGTGATAAATCTGAGATTAGTTCACAGCGGCGTTCGAATAGATTGCCATCGGGGAAGAGAGTCGGTCTGTCGTGACCTTGCTGGAATGTGACAGTGTACCCGGACTTACTGTGTCTAACAGTGTGTCCTGACGCATGGGCGAATCCTGACCTACTGTGTGTGACAATATACTCTGCTGCATGGGTGAACCCTGGGTACTTTTATAACAGTGTACTCCGATGCATGTTTGAACCCTGGTTACTTTTATGAGTTTACTCCGATGCATGTTTGAACCCTGGTTATGTTGTGTGACAGTTTACTCCGATGCATGTTTGAACCCTGGTTACTTTTATGACAGTTCACTCCGATGCACGTGTGAACCTTGGTTACTTTTATGACAGTGTACTCCGATGCATGGATGAGTCCTGAGTTACTTTGTGTGACAGTGTACCCCGATGTATGTGTTAACCTTGGTTACTTTGTGCGACAGTTCACTCCGATGCCTGGATGAAATCTCTCTCACTGATGAGCCACCTGAACATTCGCTCGCCAATATATTAAATAATGTTACCGAACTAATAAACCAATCCGAGAAATTTTGTATGACGTGCGATAAATATGCAAAACAGAAACTACTTTCAAGGCCTCTGTATCGAAGCAACCTTTGACTAACGTTCTTAGTATGTTGAAGTTGGGTTTCGTGATGTGTTGGTGTTGCTTTGGAAAAAACATGGCTGCAACTTATGTTATATTAACACGCACTTTATTGAAAACATGTGTACCACCGTGCAGGTTCAGCGCCTGCCTCCAGTGGCAACACCTCCGGAGATGATTACATGTTTTCTCACGACTACATCGACGAAGACTACATGCAGTTCAACACATCAGACGCCGTGTATGCAGAGCTGGAGGACGGGGAGTACGGGCTGGTGATGGTCACTGACGGCTGTAGGGTATGGGACCCCGAAAAGGAGATTTGGGATGCCAAGGCTTGCGAGGTAACCACAACTGTCTTCAGTTATGGTTATCAACTGTGGAGTTAATCTTAATTAAATATATTTCATCATCATCACCATCATCATCATCATCATCATCATCATCATCATCATCATCATTATTATTATTATTATTATTATTACAGATTAACATAAAAAATGCAGCAAAGAGGGTTTGGGTAATCCCGAATGATGATGATAATGATGATGATGATGATGATGATGATTGTTTTTATTTTCAGTATTAAAAAGAAGAAATAATTAATAATAATAAAGTTTTTTTATGGTCTGTTTTATTTGGTTTAAGTTGACTGGTCGGAAAGGCGTAGGGGCAACTGCATTAGGGATTTTGGTCGTCTATGTCCCGATTTATTACTTCATTGGTTGAAGTCGCACAGACAAAGTGTACAGATGCTGAGCGCAGAGTGGTGTACCCTTACATTGTTTTATATCCATAATGATAACCAGCTCCATACCATTGGTGATAAGTATCAACCGATACGTCCTTGTGAAGAATACATACGATCTACTTGGACTGCTATTGTGCTGGTACGAGTAGCAAAGGAAACCTGGAGTGTTGTCGGGCTTCAGTTCTGTGTTGATGTCTTCAGGGGATTCCGGGTCCGAATCGATCACTATACCTCTTGCGTTTCGTAAGAGCCGTCAAGAAAGGGGTTCGGGTGGTCAAGCTCTGTGACTTGGTTGATTGTGTGCCGTCGTAATCGTATGGTGAGGTGAGGTGAGGTGAAATGGGGTTTAACGTCGCGTCCAAGATTATTGCACTTATATAGCGACGTGCATGCACGTGTATGTGTGTGTGTGTGGCTGCTTGTACTAGTCAGGACTTATGCCGATTTATAGCGCTAGCACACTGATATACCATGCAGCAGTTTAACATGAATACCCCAATCAGACACAGTATACTGACTCCTAGCCGACCAATCCTTGTTTAAGCCCCTTAATGCCAAGCGCCAGACAGGGCAACAACAAGTACCATTTTTTAACGTCTTTTTGTTATGACGCGGCTGGGGATCGAACCCCGGACCTTCCGCTCTCCGGGCGGAAGCTCTACCATTAGACCACGGAGGCGGTCCGTAATCGTATGGGATCCTACATCGGGCTCACACCGTGTTATATTTGGAATATTGTTCTAAGCGGCGTTAGACCAAACTCACGCATTGCTCGGGCGATGATTACGTTGCCAAATGGTTTGCCTGGCCCAGAATCGATTATTTACATGCCGTAATATTGTTGACTGCGGCGTAAGAAACAAACAAACAAAAGTAATGTAATAAGCGGAAAATACCAGAAAATCTGGAACATATTACCATTCGTGTGTTCCAGATCTCTCCGTACTCGAACCCAAAGGAAACCTTCTGCACGTGTGCCCACGCCCCAGGCAGAGCGTTTGCTACCACCTTCTACGTCCCACCAAACACCATCGACTTCTCGCTCGTCTTCACGAAGTTTGACGCCAGCAACGCAGCCGTGTACGGACTCATCATCGGCATCATCTCGGTCTACATCCTGGGACTCATCTGGGCCAGGAGACAGGATCGCAAGGATGTGGAGAGGGTGGGACATTCGTATATCTTTCAATACTAATGTTCTAATATATGGAGAATAAATTATGTATCATATTGTCCGAATGAAATTAACATTCACAGTCCAAAGCCATGTCGAGGGACGTTAAACATTAATTTCACGAGGGGCAAATAATCATTAATTCCGAGTGTCGTGTGGGATATTTTTATTGTTATCCAAGTTCATCCTGTGTGGTCACCTCTTACCAATCATGTCAGTTTTCGTCACCTGTAAAAGAGACAAGTATCAGTCCGCGTGTAAAAAGTACACGCAGGCTTACCGCTGGTCATAGAAAATGAACATGTTTGCATAGGGACATTGGCAAGTAAGTTCCAAGGAAATATCATTCAATAATAATTTTTTATGTCGGATTATGTAATGCAATACTGTTTAAACTGTTCTATCACTACAGGGACAGGGTGATGAAAACGGTTGAAGCAGTGGGATTATTTGCCACGATGAGGCATTCGCGGTTCATGCTTCTTGTTCAGCCGTTGTCTGGCCTAACCTGGCCTAATTAAGATGCTTATGAATATGCCAAGCATGAACTTCTGTGTGAAAGGAAAAATCGTTTGAATGGTCAGATAAATCACCACCTTATTCAGCGGGCATTTTTACTTTAGACGGAGACAAACGAGGCCATCTTTTGTTGTTTGTTTACATTCTGCCGATGTCTAGATATATGATTCCATATCGTTTCTAGGCATACACATGGTACAAGATGACTACAAAACCAATGTTTGTAATTCATACCTAATCGTAGATCAAGAATAAATACATTCAATAATATTCATGTCGTCGAATCATTGAACAATATTATCTTCAGCACCGCGAGTATCCATGAAACATATTTATGCAATGAAACAGGAAGGTGACAATGATACTTATTATGTATTCGCTGTGGCAAAATAGATGGTCAAGATTGTTAATTGATTATGCTAATTCAAGTCAACAAAATAAAAAGGAGGCAGCGCAAACCTAGCATGAACCAGTCTTTGTAAGAAGGAATTCACTGTAGTCGCTATTCGTTACACTCTCCGTTCCATTGCATGACACTGGATTAAAACATGACACGTATAAATTATTGACTTTGCGATTAGTGAAGCGAGTCAGTGAATAAGGGCGTACTTGAACTAAAGACGACAAAGAAAACAGTTTACCTTTTAAACGTAAATCTAACGTGTTGCCAAAGTGGTTTCGGATTTTGCATTGTAAGAGGTCAACGTCCAAGAATCAATGGCATTGGCGTATATGTTTCAGTGGCGAGTTGGCTACCTCGTGGATAATCTGACGTCAGACAAATACTTCTACCTGCTCCAAGTCCACACCGGCCTCCGCAAGAACTCGGGGACTGAATCAAGGATCAGCTTCGTCCTGGCTGGCGAACAGGGAGACACGGGGGTCCGGATACTCAGTGATGGCAAGAGGGTGAGTGAGTCATTGCAAATTGGTGCCGGTAATCACGAGCCTGGGTATGGAGCTGAAAAACCAAGAATCATTTCGGGGCTAATCCTGGATTCGAACCAACGATCATGGGCCGCTGGCATGCCTAAAGGACACAATACAGCACAGAGGCTGTCGGCACCTTGTCCACCGGGACACCCTTATCCCCACAATGGTGTGAGAGTAAATATGCCAGACCGTGTCCAACTGACAACATAATATCAATACTATCACGTTGGTCTGCAGGTCAGTAGCTGTTACCTTGGTTGTCTGAATGGATGTAGTAGCCTCGGTAGCTACTATAAGAGCAATGGTAGCTACACAAACCCACGTTTGATACCAAAGTATTCGTAGCAATCGAAGCAAGCGTAACTTAATGTGCCCATGTGGTAGTAGTAATAGTAATAGTAGCAGTAGTAGTAGTAGTAGCAGTAGTAGTAGTAGTAGTAGTAGAAGTAGTAATAGTAGTAGTAGTAGTTGTTGTAGTAGTAGTAGAAGTAGTAGTAGTAGTATCACGAACAGTAGCAGATCCGGTCTTCAGCATGCCATGCCTGTCGTCAGATGCTACTAACGGGATCGGGTGGTCGGGTGGTCAGGTTCGCTGACTTAGTTGATGCATGTCATCGTATTCCAAGTGTGTAGATTGATGGTCAGGCAAGCAAGTAGTAGTAGTGGTGGTAGAAGTCGTGCAAAGGTAGCTAGAACAATAATATTGTCATAATAATGGTGTTTGTAGCATCAACTATTATGGCTGGAGTACAATAAACAGTAACATACTATAGGAGAGAAATGATTTAGGCATGACTCAAAGAACTGGGGAAGGTATTGATTGAGTGAAAGTGATTTCATGCCAAAGTTTGCGATAGTCAAGCTCTATCCCGGTAGCCTGTTAATAACCTTGGTCAGTGGGTGGTAGCATGAGCAGCGATCCCAATGGGATACAATGGCACACTGTACAATGGCTCACAATCAGACAGTTGACACAGTGGAGTGTCCCTTACCTCATGCATGGAATACTGGGCACCACATCGGGTGAGTGAGTTGGGTTTAACGCCGCTTTAAACAGTATTCCAGTTAAATCACGGCGTGTCAGCTTAATGTGGGAGGAAAGCCCGAAGTGATGCAGGTCTCAGACGTTTACCACTTCGGTGAAACCAACGAGCACGGGTATGGTGCTGACAAATCTAGAAACATAATCGGGGCGAACTGGGATTCGAACCCACAATTCTAGGTTTCTGGTGTGTCCAAGGGACGCAACTCTGCACAGCAAATCGCGGGGCCTTAGACGAGTGGGACACCCGTGCGCCCGGCACCACATCGGACTCACATGGGTTTCAAATGGAATTTTAAATTAATCAGTCACAGTTGGACATAAGAGAAGTATTGCTACATGAAAACTCGGGGTATGTTTATAATGTATATACGTGAGTTCATTGTGCACTGTTGATCCTACAGAGTATAGCCACGGGAAGCGTGATGAACTACATCCTCGCTGTGCCAGGGCAGCTGGCCGATCTGTCCTACCTGCGAATCTGGCATGACAACTCAGGGCCGGGCTCCAAGTCCTCCTGGTTCCTCAACAAGATCGTGACGGAGGACCTGCAGACACAACAGAGGTATGTTGAATAAATTATTATCGTCACATCGCGGCACAGCTGTATAATGTGCGAGGTAAATGACACATGTGGGAGACGCTGACTAATGAACTCTGCGAGTGTGATTCTGAGAGAAACAAAGATTATCACTTTCGCTTCAGGGTATTATGTATTTCGTGTGGTAGTTGGTCGAATATAAAGACCTAGCCCCTGTGGGGTCTTTAGCATTTTCAATAGTCCAATAAGTATTGGACCGCCTCCGCGGCCTAGTGGTAGGGTGTCCGCCCGGAGAGCGGAAGGTCCGGGGATCGATCCCCGGCCGTGTCATACCAAAAGACGTTAAATGATGGTACTTGTTGTTACCCTGTCTGGCGCTCGGCATTAAGGGGCTAAAACAAGGATTGGTTGGCTCGGAGTCAGTATACTGTGTCTGAGTGGGGTATTCATGTTAAACTGCGGCATGGTATATCAGTGTGCTAGCACTATAAATCGGCATCAGTGCGGACAAGTACAAGCAGCCACACAAACACACACACGTGCATGCACGTCGCTATATAAGTGCAATAATCTTGGAGACAACTCACCGATAAGTATTGATGTGGAAGATCAGTTTGCCAGTGTTGTGTCGTATTGTTATATCGCGTTAACGAAATTATTACATTTTTTACAGATACATCTTTGCCTGTGACCACTGGCTGGCGGTAGATAAGGAGGATGGAATCATTGACCGCGTCCTACCCGTGTCGGTCAAGGACGATTTCATGACCTTCGACAAGCTTTTCTCTGAGCATGCGCGTCTTAACATCACCGACACCCACCTCTGGCTGTCAATCTTCATGCGACCAGAACGCTGCACTTTCTCACGTGTCCAGCGCGTGTCCTGCTGCCTGGCACTGTTGTTCCTCATGATGATATCCAGTGCCATGTTTTTCAAATCTCAAGCAGAGAAAGAAGACGAAGAAACAATTCGTCACGAAGTGAAGATTGGGGGGCTTCGGTTCTCCATGACCAGCTTCTATGTATCACTGGTCAGTCTAATGGTCACCATGCCTCCAACCATCCTTGTCGTCATGCTGTTCAAATCCAGCAAACCCAAGATGAGGAAAGACCAGGAGATCCAGGTGACTCGTCCTCAACCACCCAAGAACAGAGCCAACCAAGATGAAGAAGACGTCTTGACCAACCGATACAAGAACAAACCTTTGCCACACGTCTTTGTCTACATTGCCTGGGTGCTGCTTGCTCTGATTGTGATGACCTGTGGGTTCTTTCTCATCCTCTACAGCATGCAGTGGGGCAAGGCGGTGTCCGAGGAGTGGCTCACCTCCTTCTTCATGTGCTTCGCGCAAAGCGTTGTTGTCATGGATCCTCTAAAGGTATGTCTCCGGCTTCAGTAAGGAGCCTCGTGGTTAAAGCGTTCGGTCGTCACGCCGAAGACTCGGGTGCGATTCCCGACATAGGTACTATGTGTGAAGCCCATTTCTGGTTTCCCCAGCCGTGATGTTGCTGGAATATTGCTAAAAGCGACGTGAAACCATGCTCCCTCACTCACTCACTCCCTCACTCAGTAAGGAGCGTTGTTATAATTATGACAAATATGCGTGAATAGTGAGCATGGAATGTGCTTCTTTGTCACTTATTTATGTTGTCTCTCTTAGGCAAATTCCGTACCAAAATTCAACAAAAACTGGACCATACATGTAGAGGACAATGAGATTATCTGTGATTCTCAAGACTCATTGTCCAATATATTTAATCGGTGTTGTGAACTAACGCAAGTCTTGTTTTCATCGTTTTGTTTTTATTTTCCTTAACTAGTGACTCAAATTCTTTTTTTTTTAAAACAGGTTGTTATTCTGGCAGTCCTCCTCGCCTTCTGTCTCAGAGACCCCTTCGATTCCAAAGGGGAGATCGACATGCAAAGGGTTCAAACGGAGGCTCAGATGTACGGAAAGGCAGAACTCGGTACATGAGAATTACATATAGAATTATTACTGTGTTGGAAGGAAACAGTGTATCTCGAGAAGCATTAGCTATAATAACATTATTTCAGTCTGAATGATGAAATAAAAATAAATGTTCTTTGGAGTTCTCCCAATAGTTGCCAGTAACTCTGTTGTTTAATACAATTTCTACACACTGGATTCCTCCTTCAAAGAAATAATGTTTCCATTTCATTCTCAGGATGTAAAAGTAAAATATATACTGCCATGCCTTGTAAATCATCGACTTTTTATAACTACATTTCATGATCGAAAACATTAAGAATCCAAATTTCGAACAAGTGGATCTTTCAAGATTTTAATTTGGCAAGGAGTCGAAATGTCTAAACAGTATCCATCGTGACGAGAAGTTTGTTTCTTTATCAGACCTGATGTGCATCGCCCCTGAACCCCTGCCGGAATCTGTTCTGGCGAAGGCAAGGCGGAGACGTCGGAAGGAAGTGCGAGCCCAGAGTGTCTTTCTCGAACTCATCCAGTACGTCGTGTTCCTCTTCGCCATCTACAGCTTGTCCTTCGGCAACAGAGACGACCGTTCATTCATGATCCACGAACACATCGATAACAACCTCTACACTGGGAGTGTCAACCTTGAGTACCCGTTCGAAGGGGTGAGGGTTCAGCCATTGACTCGTTTATTCTATTTTTAATAAATCAATGATACAATTTTATGCATTTGTTCTAAAAGCTCATTGGATGTGGGCCTTAACAACATCTTTCTGTTAATACTTTCTGTCTTCATATTGATATAAGTAACTTTGTTTTGTCTGTATGCTCTAGAATCTTTGATTTCAAAGCAAGCATCATGTTAGACCCCTTTTTACTTACACATATACTGAACCAAATTAAAAACTTCACAATCCTAAAATTTTAACATTTTGACCAGTTATCATTGTGGGCCCTTATTGTGTATTTAAACAGTAATGGCCACGTATTGTCTTCAGATAACACCCGTTTTTGTGCAGGTGAATCGATCAAAATCATGTGCACAACACTATAGTGGCAAAAGTGTTTTTTCACGTGCAACTGGTCACGTGGCCATAATACCGCACGTGTTTTCAGCCATACTTGTTAGCAGTCATTAACAAAAAAAGAAAAACACAAGAAAACAAAGGTCTTTAAGGCCATTTGTCATGCCACGCCTTTCAAATGTGCAACGTGAACGTGCCATCGGCATGTTGCAGACGGGAACGTAGCTGAAGTCGCAAGGACGATGGGTTGTAGTCGACGGACTGTTTATGATTTACAGACGCGCCTACAGCAAACGGGTATCACCGCTGATCGCCCTCGGCCAGGTCGACCACGTGTGACGTCACATGCAGAGGATCGTCAGATTGTCTTACGTCACCTCCGTAACCGATTTTTGACGGCTACATCAACCAGAAATGAACTGTTTAGTGGTAGACTGAGTGCGCAAACTGTTCGAAACCGTCTGAGAACTGCTCACCTTCAAGCACGACGGCCATACTGCGGGCCGATTCTGACTCAATTACACAGACGTCAACGTCAATTGTGGGCACAGCGACACTTACGATGGACTCAGAGGAATTGGAATCAAGTCGTCTTCAGTGATGAATCCCGATTTAATCATCGATTTGCTGATGGTAGGATGAGCGTGTGGAGGCGCCGTCATGAACATTACGCCCAGTGTTGTGTACAGGAAGTTGACAGATTTTGAGGTGGAAGTGTCATGGTGCGGGGTGCTTTCTGTGGCAATGCACGTTCCAGGCTTCTTGTCATCCGTGGAAACCTCAACGCTGCTGCTAACCGCGACCAGGTACTGGCACCAGGACATCTGCCTTTTATGGCAGCACATGGACCCGGTTTGATCTTCCAACACGACAATGCCAGACCCCACACAGCAATTTTGACAAGGAATTTCCTTTAGAATGCGGGAGTCAACGTCATGGACTGGCCGTCAAGGTCTCCCGACCTCAATCCCATCGAACACGTCTGGGATGCTCTTGGCAGAAGTCTGCGCACTCTCCAGAACCAACCACATAATTTGCAAGATCTTGGCACCATTTTGCAGCAACAATGGCGTCGTCTTCCCAATCATGTGTTCACAAGCATCACAAGGCCCATGCGGAGGCGTTGTGTGGCAGTTGTCAACGCAAATGGTGGCCATACACGCTACTGAACTTGTGTGCCATCAGATTCCCGTGCTTGGGACTTATCATTTAAACTGTTGATGTTATTACCGAATACCGTAGGTGCCTCGACCAAATTATGGTTACCACCGTTAATTAAAATCCTTCTTTGGACATTAATGATTAAAAATTACCATCTCTGATACATTTGTCCGTTGTATATCATATATGGGGTTACTTTTTAAAATGTGAAGTTTTTAATGTGACTCAGTATATTATGAGAGTGCAGATTTTTTCCCCAACTATGGGGTGGTCCAAAACAGGATTGTTTTTAATTATCTGTTCTGTTATCTCTCAGGTGAATTGCATATACGTGTTTTCTTTATGGCACGCCAAATAGTGACTTCAATTCACATATTTACCTAAGTATTCCTTCATTATTGAAATGTAATAACGGACTTGGCCAAAAGTGAATTTAATGTTCTTTTCGACATGTGTTAAATGGTGGCTCCGCGAGAAAGTCACAAGTAATAAAAACGTCTTGATGGTGGCATTTTTTCAAAATATAAATCATCATTTGTTATAATTGAAAGTTATTGTCGTCTGTATGTGATATAGAGTTCCCTACTAATTTCACTGCAACATTGGTCTTTAGGAAGGTTCTTATATTTCTCTATTTCGTTTCGTCTCTGTACTAGAGTTGTTGGGACGTTTCTGGAGTGGAAATGGATTTTACCTCAAACATGTTTCGATCTCTTTGTGGTAATCGTTTACGTGTGCTATTTTCAGATTCAGTCGTATGACGACTTTTTTACGTGGGCTCAGAGTACGTTCATCCCCCGATTGTTCCCAGAAACGGATATCAGAGGTAGTCGTCTCCCTTGGCGGAAACGTCTCTTCTTCTCTGACCTCATCAACTTCCGCGTAGGACCAGCTCGGATAAGACAGCTTCGGATGCCTCGACGTAAGTTAACATGTAATACTTTATATGCAACAAGCTATCCTAGCACATTAGATGAGTTATATACCTAAACTGATTAATACAGCGATTTACCAATACGAGATCATTTAATCATTGACTATTTTATTTTTATGCCTTGTGTTCAAACATAATACACGTTCTGTCACTCACTCACTCACTCACCAATCACCCACTCACTCACTCACTCACGCACGCACGCACGCACGCACGCACTCTCACTCACCATCTCACTCACTCACTATCTCACTCACTATCTCACTCACTATCTCACTCACTCACGCACGCACCCAACCTCTCAAGCACTCACCCAACCACTCAACTACTCAACCACCAACCAACCCACCCATTCATACTAATTGAGTTTCCATTTCTATATTCATATTCATAACCATTTAACTTTCAATTCCTACTGCAGATCAAAGTCCATTCTACGGTAGTCAGTACAACACCCTCGTGTCCAGCCAAAAATACTATGGGGCATATTCTCTGTTCAGTGAGGATGTCAGCAGCTACTGTCTAAATTGGAAGAAGCGACCGTGTCCAATAGACGAGGATGCCAAATCCTTGACATCACCAGCGTGGAAGTACACTTCATCGAACGAAGTATGGGGTATACCAGTAGCCGGACAGTACAAGATCTACAGTGGAGGAGGCTACATGCTGGAACTCAATGTCAACTATGACGTCTCCAAGGACATGCTTCAAGAACTGTATGACAACTCTTGGTTAGACAGACGGACCAGAGCAGTGTTTGTTGAATTTACCCTTTACAACGCATTCGTGAACATCATGGCCCATGTCCGTCTTTCAGCCGAGTTCCCGGAAACAGGAAGTACTATCATCTGGCACGATATAATGACATTCCGCCTGGATCAGCACCATGGCTCCTTAGGTGCCTATGTCCTACTGTGTGAGATCGTGATAGCCATCATCCTCGTTATCTTCACTATCAACCTGATGAAGAAACTGTATGAACAGAAGCTGGCCTATTTCCTCCACGTCTGGCAAACCCTGGACCTTCTGACTGTCATCTGGTGTTTGGTCGCTGTTGTCTTCTATGTAATCAGAGAAGTGAATGCTTCGGAGACACTCAGCAGATTTAGAGATAACCCGAAGAAGTTTGTCAACTTCCAGCACATTGCAATCTGGGACAATCTATTCGTCTATGCCCTTGGTGCTCTCGTCTTCTCCACCACAATCAGAATCCTCAGGATCCTTGGTTACAACAAACGAGTCACCATCATAGCAGCGGTGTTATCCAACTCTGCCAGGGACTTAACGGGATTTGGAATAGTCTTCGGCATAGTTTTCTTTGCCTATGTTCTCAGTGGTTATATCCTCTTCTCCGCTCACTACTATGGCTACCATACCATCTACGACTCAATGTTCACAATCTTTACCTATATGTTGGGTAAGAACATTATGGCGAGACTGATGCTGATTGCTCCGATCTGGGCCCAGATCTACTTCTCGACCCTGGTGTTCTTCATCATCTTTGTCCTGCTGACGATGTTTCAGGCCATCATGAACAACAGCATGACAGTGGTTAGAGACAATCTGAAGAAAATACCTCCCCCCTATGGCTTAGTGAACGTTGTCCTAAACATCTACCGTGCACTCATCAGGGACTGGCTTCCAGACAGCTTCTTCAAGAATCAAAAGGGTAAGTTCTTTTGTCATTGGAGGCGTAGATCATTGATCCCTACTATCTTACAAAGATCGTGTTTACTTCAGATATACTTCTTTTTGGTTTATGATGAAGGTTAAGTCTTAGCTTGCTGTGAAACTCGAGCTTCTGGTGATATTTTGAGCGTATTTTCAAAATTGAATTTTGCGTATTTTATTTCGTTTTTGTTCACATCCGATCTGAAATTCATGTGTGGTTGATATTTCGATAGTTGATTCTTTGGGCTGCAACCTTGCCGTTTTTAATTTCACAGGCGTGGTAGTTGTGGAGGAACACAGACGAGGACCGACGTATCAGGCCCTCAGCCAGCTGCGAGACCAACTGGAGTTGGCTGTCACGGTACGACAGCTGAGTGACAAATAATCCCGCCCCTCGGGTTTCATCTATTCCTTTACCTAAAGCCGTGTTGCTAGATTGTAGTTCATATCGCGTTACGATTAACATTTTTTTAAATCTTTCAAAGCTTTACTTTCTATCTATGGTAAGGCTCTATGATTATTTTTATTCAATAACCTTACACACTAGTACTGGTACTTCGACGAGATCAATGATTGCATGCATACCATTGACACTGACACTGACCTTACCAACAAAACTACGCGACATCGCTGTCTTAGCGGAATGGTCAGTTTAGTTTTGATTTAAAATAAATAATATATCTGGTTGAGTCTTAGAATCCGTCGTTTTAGGTATTTCAGTTTTAATGTTATATCTTATCAGAATAAGAATAGATATCACTGAGTTGAATATTTTGATATATGCAGGTGAAAGGCGCGTTCAAAAGGAGACCTCTTGGCAAGTCACTAGACCTTCAAGGAAAGCTAGACAAAGTACCGTTGGAAGCAAAGATTCTGAGAGCACATGGAGCAAAGGAGTTCGGAGTAGATGTGAAAATGAGGCAATTGGGTGTTCAGGATTTGGAAGACGAACTAACGAGAACAGGACAAGAAACGAGGCCAAATCGAGACAATGGACCGAGTGATCAAGGGGATGACAGAACCAATGAAAAACGAGATCGAGAGAGTGGAACGAAGCAGAGCCAACAAGAGAGAGAATCCCAAGAGAAACATGTTGGCAGAGAGAAAGGAAAGGAAGAAGGCGGACCGAGGTCACGTGATCCAAGTGCGCATGAGCTAGGCCGTCACGGGAGACCTCAGAGAAGAAGACCGCGGATTGTGCAGTAGTTATGAGAAGAAATGCTTTGGTTTTGTTGATTCAATTTGTTCTGAAACAAATATACGTTACTGTTTACTATATGTTCCTGCTGTTCACCTTCTGTGACTTGATGAAAACACCTTACTGCACTGATGATGGTGGTATGTGCCACTGAGACATGATCGTGAATGTATGTTTATGTTGTCAGATATCACCAACGTGTAACAAAACAATTACATCCATATTGTTAACGTGTTATATATCCGACTTTACTCAACACTGACAACTCCAAATTCAGGGTTACTCAAACCGTTTCTCAGTATATTACAAGAGCCGATTGCGATCTTGTTTTCTGGTCAAATTTATGTTTCTTTTACATTATTTACCGTACAGTAAATACTCTTGTATTGGTGATTTTATAACAACTATATAACATGTGCTTGTCAAAATGTAATTATGGCATATGTGATTATTGAAACATTTTAAGCGATATTTTGTATTCCACCGCAGTAAAACATTTAAGTTATTCATATCAAACTTACCTCAAACTACAGTTTTCTGATGATGTGTAGGTACATTTCTTCCTAAGTGTTGTATGGTGTTCAAATGTCTTGCAATATATACACTCAAACAGTTTAATCACAGATAATAGTCACATCTTATAATAATATAGATCTACTGTTTAGAACAGCAGAAGTTGTCATATTTTAGGTTGAACCAAAACGGAAACAATATTGTTACGACCACGATGGTTTATCTTAATAAAATCATGTTGAATCTAAGTGTCCGTCTTGAGTTATTGGTTTGAAGTAAGTACGTTCAGAAGTGCTATTTATTGGAAGTGTTAATTTTGTATTATTGGCTTTATAATAACCAATGTGTCTACAACGTTGTGTACACAACGGTGTCCTATAACGTAGACATTCGGTACGTGGATACACAACGGTGTCATATAACGTAGACATTCGGTACGTGGATACACAAAAGGGTCCTGCAACGTCGACATTCAGCACATTGATACACAACGTCGTCTTGTAAGGTCCACATTCAGTACGTGGATACACAATAGTGTCATAAAACGTCGACTTTCAGCACATGGATACACAACGGTGTCCTATAACGTCGACATTCAGTACGCGGATACACAACGGTGTCCTATAACGTCGACATTCAGTACGTGGATACACAACGGTGTCCTATAACGTAGACATTCCGCACATGGTTACACAACAGTGTCATAAGACGTCGATATTCAGTACGTGGATACACAACAGTGTCCTATAACGTTGACATTCAGTACGCGGATACACAACGGTGTCCTATCACGTCGACACTCAGTACGTGGATACACAACGGTGTCATATAACGTCGACATTCAGTACGTGGATACACAACAGTGTCATATAACGTCGACATTCCGCACATGGTTACACAACAGTGTCATAAGACGTCGATATTCAGTACGTGGATACACAACAGTGTCATATAACGTCGACATTCAGTACGTGGATACACAACAGTGTCATATAACGTCGACATTCAGTACGTGGATACACAACGGTGTCATATAACGTCGACATTCAGTACGTGGATACACAACAGTGTCATATAACGTCGACATTCCGCACATGGTTACACAACAGTGTCATAAGACGTCGACATTCAGTACGTGGATACACATCAGTGTCATATAACGTAGACATTCAGCACATGGATACACAACAGTGTCCTATCACGTCGACATTCAGTACGTGGATACACAACAGTGTCATATAACGTCGACATTCAGTACGTGGATACACAACAGTGTCATATAACGTCGACATTCCGCACATGGTTACACAACAGTGTCATATAACGTAGACATTCCGCACATGGTTACACAACAGTGTCATAAGACGTCGATATTCAGTACGTGGATACACAACAGTGTCATATAACGTCGACATTCAGTACGTGGATACACATCAGTGTCATATAACGTAGACATTCAGTACGTGGATACACAACAGTGTCATATAACGTAGACATTCCGCACATGGTTACACAACAGTGTCATATAACGTCGACATTTAGTACGTGGATACACAACGGTGTCATATAACGTCGACATTCAGTACGTGGATACACATCAGCGTCATATAACGTCGACACTCAGTACGTGGATACACATCAGTGTCATATAACGTAGACATTCAGTACGTGGATACACAACGGTGTCATATAACGTAGATATTCAGTACGTGGATACACAACGGTGTCATATAACGTCGACACTCAGTACGTGGATACACAACGGTGTCCTATAACGTCGACACTCAGTACGTGGATACACATCAGTGTCATATAACGTCGACACTCAGTATGTGGATACACATCAGTGTCATATAACGTAGACATTCAGTACGTGGATACACATCAGTGTCATATAACGTAGACATTCAGTACGTGGATACACAACGGTGTCATATAACGTAGATATTCAGTACGTGGATACACAACGGTGTCATATAACGTCGACACTCAGTACGTGGATACACAACGGTGTCATATAACGTCGACACTCAGTACGTGGATACACATCAGTGTCATATAACGTCGACACTCAGTACGTGGATACACAACAGTGTCATATAACGTCGACACTCAGTACGTGGATACACATCAGTGTCATATAACGTCGACACTCAGTACGTGGATACACAACGGTGCCTCATCACGTCGACATTCAGTACGTGGATACACATCAGTGTCATATAACGTCGACATTTAGTACGTGGATACACATCAGTGTCATATAACGTCGACACTCAGTACGTGGATACACATCAGTGTCATATAACGTCGACACTCAGTACGTGGATACACAACGGTGCCTCATCACGTCGACATTCAGTACGTGGATACACAACAGTGTCATATAACGTAGACATTCAGTACGTGGATACACATCAGTGTCATATAACGTCGACACTCAGTACGTGGATACACAACGGTGCCTCATCACGTCGACACTCAGTACGTGGATACACATCAGTGTCATATAACGTAGACATTCAGTACGTGGATACACATCAGTGTCATATAACGTAGACATTCAGTACGTGGATACACAACGGTGTCCTATAACGTAGACATTCCGCACATGGTTACACAACAGTGTCATATAACGTAGACATTTAGTACGTGGATACACAACGGTGTCATATAACGTCGACACTCAGTACGTGGTTACACAACGGTGTCCTATCACGTCGATATTCAGTACGTGGATACACAATAACGTCGACATTCAGTACTTAGATACACAACGGTGTCCTATCACGTCGACATTCAGTACGTGGATACACAACGGTGCCTCATCACGTCGACATTCAGTACATTAATACACAACGGTGTCATATAACGTCGACATTCAGTACGTGGATACACAACAGTGTCATATAACGTCGACATTCCGCACATGGTTACACAACAGTGTCATAAGACGTCGACATTCAGTACGTGGATACACAACAGTGTCATATCACGTCGACATTCAGTACGTGGATACACAACAGCGTCATATAACGTAGACATTCAGTACGTGGAAACACAACAGTGTCATATAACGTCGACATTCAGGACGTGGATACACAACGGTGTCATATTACGTCGACATTCAGTACGTGGATACACAACAGTGTTCTATCACGTCAACATTCAGTATATGGATACACAACAGCGTTCTGTCAAGTCGACATTCAGTACGCGGATACACAACAGTGTTCTATCACGTCGACATTCAGCACATGGATACACAACTGTGTCCTATCACGTCGACATTCAGTACATCGAGTGACGGGTGAAAGGAGATATTTTCACGAGTGGCTACGCCTTCACTAATCACTAATCACGTCGACATTCAGTACGTGGATACACAAAAGTGTTCTATCAAGTCGACATTCAGTACGAGGATACACAATAGTGTTCTATCACGTCGACATTCAGTACGTGGATACACAATAGTGTTCTATCACGTCGACATTCAGTACGTGGATACACAATAGTGTTCTATCACGTCGACATTCAGTACGTGGATACACAATAGTGTTCTATCACGTCGACATTCAGTACGTGGATACACAACGGTGTCCTATCACGTCGACACTCAGTACGTGGATACACAACGGTGTCATATAACGTCGACACTCAGTACGTGGATACACAACAGTGTCATATAACGTCGACATTCAGTACGTGGATACACAATAACGTCGACATTCAGTACTTAGATACACCACGGTGTCCTATAACGGCGATATTCAGTACGTAGATACACAATGGTGTCCTATCACGTCGACTTTCAGTACATCGAGTGACGGGTGAAAGGAGATATTTTCACGAGTGGCTATGCCGTCACCAGATGAGAAAAACATGATATTTCACGAGACACATGAAATATCATATTTATTATATACTTTTTGTGAAATTGTCTACCGGAAAATTACATTATTTCATTACAGATGTAAAACCTTGAAACGTTAATTCTCCCTACCAACACGCAGGAACGTTTCACGACCGTTTGTAATTACGACTAAAAAAAGTAGTTCCGTGTTTGCAAAATCTTAAAAAAAGATAAACAAAAGTAACAAAAATATTTAGGGTCGCGAAATTTCTTTATCATACATTTGGATGTGATTAGTTACAAAATCAACGTAAACAAAAGGTATTCTTGAAATCTACGAGACCGCTGTTGAAAACGAAAGTATACACATTGGTCAAGAAACAAAACTGACGATTTGGGAAAAACCAACAGTCTCGATTGCCGAGTTAAATGAGAAATTTACACTTTATAACGAAACATTTTCAAGAGGATAACAAACGGCAAGAAGCGACCTTAACTCCATACATGACCATCTGTAATTATTTTGTCCTGTCAATATGGAATTAACGTTAAGAGGAAGTTAACAATTTGTGTACGGGCTAGACATTTACGGTAGAAGGGAAACAATTTGCGGCGTGGTGACTCTTGTATGACAATAGTTCCGTCCACAGGTTGTGTTCACAGCAGTGAAATGTCAAATGTAATGTTCATTGCCATGAAAATATCACTTTTCTCAACTTCGGAAATCTCAGTCTTTCACACTGAAGAATGTGATAATGAATCACTATCAAATAGTGATGCCACCAGGTGTTCGCGAATAGGTGAGGGTATCCAACCAAACCCGAGACACCCGTCACAAACACATGCAAAGACAAGTCAATGCGCATTAACAGGGCATCCAGCTACACTGATATGTCTTGAAATCAAGCTACCCTAATTTGTATTGAGGAGGCACGGGTTGCCCAGTCGTCTAAGGCGCCGCGATTCGCTGTGCAGAGTTGCGTCCCTTGGGCACGCCAGAAACCTATGATTGTGGGTTCGAATCCCGGTTCGCCCCAATTATGTTTCTAGGTTTGTCAGCACCATACACGTGCTCGTGGGTTTCACCGAAGTGGTAAACGTCTGAGACCGGCATCACTTCGGGCTTTCCTCCCACATCAAACTGACACGCCGTGATATAACTGGAATACTGTTAAAAGCGGCGTTAAACCAAACTCACTCACTCACTAATTTGTATTGAAATGAAGCTACCCTGATCTCTTTTGACACCAAGGTACCTGATATATAATCAAATCTCACATGTCTGTATTTCTATCAATAAGTTGTTGTTTGAAATAATATATACACTGAAATCGCGTTATTACGGAAACCCTTAAAGCAACTTCTGCTTTGCCGTGTGGTTAGACAAGTGCAACA